GAAAACCGCAAAAAATTATGCAGTGAATGTTCGTTTCCAAGTGGAGCCATGAAATAACTACCCACCACGCTCAAATTACTGCTAAAACACTCATCAAAACTTCGAGTTTGCAAATGAAACAACTGGAAAGGATACGATTTATGAAAAAATCTTCTACTGCAAGCATTACAAATCTCGAATTAGAAAAATTTCTTATCTGTCTTATGCAAATATCAGACGTCCATTTATTGTAAACGAGGGCTTACAAATGTTTAGAATTACAGATTAATTAATGACCTCTCAGAAAAATTATGTCTGATAAACTGGCTGCCGTGTCCTAATGACGCAAATACCTTTCTACTGATCTTTCATCATCTATATGTCATCTAGATTCTTAATTATTGACAAATGAAGTAGCTCTCAATAACTACAATAAGATGAACACGAGAGATAATAACATTACGAGGTATGTCCATTAAGTTTGATGAAGGATACAAACTTCAGGGTCAAGGTGTTAGAAAACTTTATAACTTTTTTGGTTAAGTTCAAAACAAATATGCAAATCACTGGCTGAATACCATCTTTACCAACACCTATTAACTATAATTTTTAGTCTGTTCATAAATTTCACGTTTTCTTTAACCCTTTAACTCCCATGAGTGACCAAGTCAGAATTTCTCCTCACCAAATCAATACAATATCAAACAGACAAGCAATGAGAATAAAGAAAAAATATCAGTTAGAGGATAATTAGTTGATTCATTGCCATTTTCTTAGAACTAACATCCTAAGAATTATACGGCAGATAGTAGGGAGAATTGCTAAAGAGATCTTGGGAGTAAAAGGATTAAATGTTTACATGGGAAATTGGCACGGAACTGGGTAAATTGATCCATCTGCGCATGCCCACTTTATAATGCAGTTTCGGGTGCGGCACTCTGACTGGGTTGCATCATGATCGTAAAATGAAAAGTGAGTCATTTGTATCCAGTCGCGATTGAGTGAACATCTCTAGTGGCAGCCAGATTGCGTGAATAACCCTGGAATGTAATGGGGTTCACAGTCTGTTGCCATTCTTTCGAAAGTTAAAAAGTGTTTATGGGCCAGCGTAACTCCTGTTATTCCTTTGTGAGTAATATCAAATTCTCGAGTTATTTAACAAGGAATCGACCCTTGACATGGAAACACATTACAAAGAAACAGCGACCTTCTAATACAAGAACTATTTCTCATGTCATGCACTTAAAGGCGTAAATATGGGATTCGCGAAAGGAGAAGTCTTACGCCTCCTGAGACCAAATTCGTCACGCTCAGCATTTGATAAAAAACGTAGAGAGATTCATATATTCTTAAAGAATAGAGAATACCTATAATAAGGTTTTGAAAAATAGAAAATAACCTGCCACAATCTCATCCGACTTTCATCAAACCTCAAGAACATACAGGTGGGGAAAGGACACCTTGAAACTAACCCTCATTATCGCATCACAAAGGAAAGTCATTAAAAGATATCGTATTAACAGCTAAGCCTTCAGCTCAGAATATTTAAAAGCGCAAGCGAATGGCAGGAGTCCCACAAGCCGATCAAAACCTTTAAACGATCGACTGCCTTTTGCTTTCCGGCTTGCCCGGCGTGTCGCCGTGCGCATTGTAGAGTTATGTATTGGTCAAGTGACTTCTTTTATTCCTCTGATTCAACTGTCCTTCATTCAATGATCAAGATAGAAGATTAACATGCAACACTCGCGATTAGTTAATTTGCTTTTACTTAGGAAAGTAGATTTTCAACACAATTGAGTATACATAGGAAATGTCCTTACAATAGTAACGTTGTGTAACGCAAAGCACTAAACACAACAATAACAACAGGCCTTTTCTCGGCCAAAATCGGTCTCAAACACTGGCACTTAAAATGCGAGAAATACATGTACCGTTGGAGAGCGTTTGGTAAGAACTGTTGGAGAAGGATCAGAGAGGCCATTGAAATCTTTGAAAGGCTGCTAACTACAACGTTCATCAGATTACATACTAAAAGAGTGATTGTGTTTGTCCTTTTGAACCAGAGAAAACGCGACAAATACGAAGAAAAAATACTTTTCAAACTACATCTACCCATGGTGAAAGGAAAGAGAAACGGCCTAACTTTTAGAGAATGTTCAGTAAAAATCCGCCGATTTCACCGCCATATTGAAAATGAAGCTACCACGGGAGTTACTACATCACGGGCGACGAGTGGGGGAAGATTTATCGTTGTAAATCGACCATATTTCGTTCCCTATGCTATTCCTTATAGGTAAGCACTAAAACATGGAACGACCTACAACCACCTCAAAAACATCTACAGCCACTCGCAAACCATCTAAAACCACCTAAAACAAGGCATAAATGTCTAAAATAAGGCGAGAGGAGAACATGTTACGTACATGAAATGCGAGAATCGAACGAAACCTCCACCTCCCCCTGAAATCTTACTCTCCCTGATCCCATGTATAATCAATCATCTCACGAAGTGAAATGCGAGAGCATGCCAATTATATTTTATATTTCCCTCAGTAGTAAAAGACTTAAAGAACTTTACAAGCAGACGTTTTGGCTCACGTTTCATTTGATTACGTAATGGTCCGAGGTAGTGTTTTTCTCCAGTTATAATCTCAGCACCGGAAATGCAATTGGAACAAAACGTGAGTCACTATTACAAAAGTGGCACCCCTAGTACAGTTCGCTTAAGACATTTTTTTGTAGATGGTTGTAGGTGGTTTTAGGTGGTTTTAGGTCGTTCCATGTTTTAGTGCTTACGGCGGCGCACATGTTTTTTTGCAGGTGGAAGTCGATGTCGACCTTAGAAGCTGAAAGTCTCGAAACTTCTAACTTCTAACCACAAACTGCTGACCGCGGTTTGACGTTTGCGGTGAGCACACCAAATGTGGATCTAAAACTCTCTTGTGCAGTCTGATCTGGGTGAGTGTAGTCCTGAGAAGGACAATTGTCTGTATTATATATTGGTGACTGACGTTTCGACAACCAGAGCGGAAGTCATCATCAGAGTCAAGTGAATAGTTGGAGAGCGCAACTAGCATGCAACACGACAGACAGCTTATCCGACGAGAACAAGTACCTTGACCGCGTTATTTTCAAAGAAGAACTACAACCAAGACTTTATCCGATGAAACATTCACCGACCTACTGCAACTACCGAAACAAACGACACTGCAATTCCTACGACAACGGCGATTATGCCGTACATAAATGGCATGAGAACATCTTGCGCAACCAACAGTGCTTCAATATCCTCTTCAAGAGGTGTTATAGATTCAATTCAATGTCCGCGTCAAACACATTACTACGCTACGTCAGTTACTAGCAAACGTCAAATACAAGGACGAACCGAGGAACAGACAGAGGGCGGATTATGAGATCACTTGCTCCGACCGCCACGCCTCCTTCATCGGGGAGACTGGCAGAAACCTCACAACAAGCTTGGCTGAACAGAAGCGGGCGACGAGGAAGGTGATGTAAACAATCACATTGCTGAACATCACCGACTTACGAACCACTCTATTGACTGGGACTCTGCACAATGCTTAAACTACAGCTACTAACTACTTTCAACGACTGACTCTGGAAGGCTTGTTTACTAACTTAGAACAGAATTCCATCTACAGGTGTCAACCACTACCGGCACCCTACCAACGACTTGTTCACGACATTAACATTGCAAACGAACCGAACAGAATGACCTAACTTTACCGACGAACAAGAAACTTATGTGCTGCGTCGATGAGAGCGTTTAACAAGATAATTTGGTATTATCAACTAAATTGATAACGTGAATTGACTACCGTTAAGATTTTCAAAGCTGACGTTTGGGGCGTTAGCCCTTTGACGTAATTACCTAACTTACCAACGGATCGAAACGGACCAATCTAAACAAGCCTCGCTCTGTAACTCCCTAAATGATAAATAATCTCTACCCTTCTGATAGTGTTTTTTGCTATGTTTGTTCTCTGGTAGCGATTTCAGGCCATTTGGTCGCGTTTTAGCTGATATCTCATCCTACTTCTGCCTCTACTAAGACGAAGAAACAAAGTGGACAATCCCGAGTGGGCAAGATAGGCCCATCTTGCCTGCCCAGGTTGCCAATCAGAACTAAGGATTCGCTTCATATTGCCCACAGGCACTGCCAGCGATATAATAGATGTACCTATTGCTGTTTACTAACCTCTCTGCATTTAACATCGCTTTGCTCTTTCACCGCAATACTCTACAACTATAGAATAGTAGGCATATGCATTCATACACCGCCTTTTATTTTAAAAGTGGTCGTTTTTCAGTTTCTTTGTAAACAGATATGGAAATTTTTAGGAAAAAAATAGGATCAAAATAAAGACTCAAAGGTAATATCAAGTACCAAAGTGTGTTCTGAACATTTCGAAGATGAAGATTGTAAGTCAGTTGTAGACAGCCAAACTAGGAGACTGAAAGATGGCTCTGTACTTCATGACCTCCCATTGTTTTTATGGTAAATAAGAAGCTGTTTTAAAATAAATTGGGTTTTGTTTCCAGCATAATGTTAAGCATGGTTGTCACAGGTCTGGGAAAAATATTAATTCTTAAATCAAATTAAAATTACATCAAGATCTGGAAAAAGTCAGGGAATTTCACTTTGAGTCAAAAAAAATTTATATACTTGAAAGATGCAAATTGTGAGACAGTTAATAGGCAACTGAAATAAATTTGTTTTTGCCCTCTTCATAGAGAATTTGCTGCATCCACAGAAGGTCCCAGAAGATCACTCTAAATAAAACTACACTGTATTTTTTTCAACTGACCTTTTGCTATTTTTTCCTTTCTACTCAACTTGTCCTGCTACCTTTATTCCAATTTTTTAAATCTTTTGTTTAGAAAATTGAGAAAAATCAATCCTCACTAGCACACCAAAGATTAAACAGAGAGGAAACCGTTGCATCTTTACAGAAGAGACTGCCTGACTGTGTTATTGAAGAGAAAATTTTAATAAATTAGCCTCGTTTAACACTTAGCAATTACTTCCTTAAGTGACAGAAATGCTAAGGTATTAGCATGATGTCAAGTAGTAAGGACATCATGAAAGACCTTGAAAGAAAACAAGAATAAGAAGAGAGATACATTGAAACTCAAGGAAACCTCTCATTTACAGTCAGCCTCTCTCTCCAAACTTGCTATTGCATGAATCAATAGAAATACACATAAACTTGGTATATTGGTGCTAAGCAAAGTTTACCAAAGTTCCTGTAGTACCAACAAACCTAACTTGAAAAGAAAGCCTTTTTATAATCATTGCCACATTCAATGACCATGTGACTCTTATCACAAAATAGTCACATGACTTGCAATGAAAGTCAGCTTTTATTTAAATAAAATACTTTTTAGTTGTGACAGCCCCCCATGCACATTTCGATGAAGCTCGATCCAAATAATTCATTGTTTCCCTTCATACTTACAAAATGTTTATCCCAAGGTCTTATTTAATTTCAGATAAGTTAATGTTTGTACTTCCAATTTTCATATCTACTTGGTTTTAATAAGCTTTTATTTCATTATATTTAATTCTAATAACTTGGGAGCCCTTAAGGGGGCTCTGTGTCTCAATGAGAATCACTCATGGAGTGAGTGAATAAAAATTAAAAACTATTATTAAATAAATATTAATTTAGACTAATACCGTGCAAGAGTGAGAGAGAGTAATATTACAATGGCATTCTTAAGAAAACTAAATTCAACAACTCTTGAAAATTTTCAATATCCCAAGGAAGCTGTTGACATTTATGCAAGTAACAAAAGGATTTCCTTCCATTCACTCAACATGCCCTTATGTCTCTAAAATTTTCTTCCTTAGCTTTTCCCTAATGTGCAATGTTCCTTCAGTGTCCTTAAGATCCAAGATCTCCTTCATGGACAAGTACTTTCCCATGGGCATAATGTTTCCTTTGTCAATTTTTGTTCCATTCTTCAAAGCATCCAGCATCTTTATTGCATAACAAACAGACTCTGTAAAGCTTTTAAATACAGGAAACAGCTCCATGTGCCATAGACTAACATGCTCAAGTTTGGAATTCTGCAAAAAAATTGTAATAACAAAAAAAGAAATTAAGTGATGATGAAGTACAAATATTTTGGATTATAAAAAACCAAACCATTTTGTAAAGAATACAAGCCTCAAGAAAGTAATTCTGGATTTTGTAATAAGAACCAGTGATGTAACAGTCAGCAAACACATGCTAATACAAGGTTGTTACAGCAGCACAATGGCCTCTTAGAAACATCTCTGGTATCAGACTACTTAAATATGAAACAGGTGGAATGGCCCCAATCTTTAATCATCAATTTGCAATATCACATGTCAAGATTCATGCAGTACAGAGCCATCTTAAGTATTTTATGCCAATATCAAAGGAACACAGAAAAGTATGGTAATGGTACAGTATCAGTCCCTTCAAGAATTGGTGTTTATTAACCCTTTGGCCCTTAAGAGTGACCAGCATATAACTTCTCCTTACGATATCACCCCTGAATCACACATTTAGGTTTAGAGAATATAGGAAATGATCATCAATTAAAAAAGCTCTTGATTGTTCAACAAATTCTCCTTGTCAGTATCCTTGGAAATGCATAGTATGGAGAATATGCGTACTTATGTTAGGGTGTAAAGAGTTAATAAGGAAAAGGATTGAACCATTTTGAGCTACCCCAAACTTGGTTATGAGAACATGTAGGAGATCACTACCTGCACCAAATCCAACAGTGACATTGCTTTATCAAGGGGCAAGCCAAAGTACTGCAGTTTTGCAAGATCATCAGATGGTGCTGTCCTTTTAACATTGTCTTTAATGTCGAAGACAACAGTTACATACAATCCACTGACATTGTCGACTGTAACACAGACAGTCATCATGAAGGTATTGTCAGGGATGCTAGCCCCTGAAGGAAGCTCTACATTACTGACAATGCAGTTATTGCCAACAGAGGCTTCGGCTTGAATGTTGCAGTATTCCAACAGTGTTCTCTGTCCCACACTTGATGGCAGAGTCTGGTAACAGTGTATGAGACATCTTTGATCAGTGGTTATTTTCTCCTCACTGGGCCCACTTCTTTGCACCATTACTTCAGAGAGAAAGTGACTTTCATATCTGGTAAAAACAAAAACACACAAAAAGTTAAGAACAGGGAAGTATTCACTCAGTCACAACCTACCATTATCTCTATCATAAATTCAGTTCATTCCTGTAATAAGCCTCAACCTGAAAAAGGAAGGGTGTCCTGCATTGCCCTTTGATGTCAGTAATCCACAGTACTGGGGCCTTATCTCTTAAGGCCACAGTCTAAATTTTCCATTAAGTCCGTCCTTACCTTCCCTAACCTGAGATTAATTTTTCAATTTTGCTTCCTCTGCAAGAGCATTTTCACAGATCAAAGCACAAACAATGAATGAGGAGAATGATGAGAAAATAAAATATGAAGGTGATGTAGACTATGTACATTGTTCAAAATGCTGACAAGAGAGAGAAAAATCCTATTTGTCTCAAATGGTTTGGTCTCCAATTTCACACTAAACAATCTCCAGTATCAAGTATCAAGGTCTGAGCAGTTGGCTATTAACCCTTTCCACCCAAAAATTAGTGTTTATATTCTCCACACTGTTCCCTTTACATTTCTTCTGATACAGACAACGAGAATATGTTTGACAATCAGGAGCTTCCTAAATTTGGAATCATTTCCTTTACATTCATGACCTTACATCTGATTTTAAGGGTGATACTGTATCAAGAAATTGGAAACTAGCCACTCTAATTTGCTACAAAATTAATCAGGAACTCAGTGTACAAACCACTTGTTATAGAACGGAAAAAACAACTACATATTTATATAGTATTACACAGATATAATTTTCTTGGTATTTGTTAGATTTGTTGTTGTTGATGATTAAATTCTTACCTAAAAACTTTGTCGTCACAGAAATGGTGAATACATTCCATAGTGGTGCCTAAGTGGTAGAACTTGGATTCATTAAGTAACAACACATTTAATTGTGTTCCTTTCAGGAACTCAAAAATCTTCTTCCTCTTTGAAATCAAAGAGGAAGTCTCCTTTGTGACATTGGCAACATTCTTTGTGTAATCTGCTGATGCCTCAGGCCCAAGAGCTTGCAAGAAATCACCATAAGCATCAATTTCACAATCAATTGGTTGGATCTGCTGTGAAAAGTCATAGAGATTCTTGGCTGTTCTCCAGTCCACAAAAAAGACACTGTCGGTGTAAACATACTCTTGTTCATCACAGAGGAATACAATGCCATGCTTTCTCATTATGTCCATTGATGGTTTGTGGAGAAATTTCTTACATGTTGTTTGAGTGATTGGGCGGCCAGCCTGATGGACAAAATGAAAAGTAATGTTTCATTAATTTGGTAATGTTGAGAAATTCCAAAAGTTGTTACACCACATATAAGCAAAGAAAATAATTCAAAGTAATGTTTTCACACTAACTAAATTTGGTTTCAGGTAAGGGGTGCTACAGGGAAAATGATGCTATAAGACTATTTTGAGTGATAGCAAATGTATTTTAAGGAATTCCAACTGACACTCAATAACAATAAAAAGATTTTCATATTAAGGGCATTTTCCTTTTTTTTTTTTGTTACAAGCTAAGGCTAAATCTAATTTATGCAAGGTTAAAACCAAGTCAATGTAGCTGTTTCACTGATGGAATGTGCAAGGCCCTAAGGAGGTTTGCCAGGACATTGCAATGTATTTTATCTATTTCCCTTAGGTACTTTACCTACCATGTTTCCTCTACCTCACCCTCCCCTTCCACTTTTGAATGGGTATTCATTCCTGACACTGATTGTTGGTCAGTGTTGTGTTGAAAGGTGCCTGATTAGAAGGGGGTTGGGTTGGCTGACCACCATGCAAAATCTGTAGCATTTACTTAAATCCTGCAAAACTTTCATATTGCATCCACACTAACCTGAACAGATGCTAACTTTTCATGATCATTAAGAACAAATACACCATGTGTTGTACCAATATGAATTGGAGATGGATGAGCCAAAGCTGTGAAGCCTGGTTTAGTGAATGACCAATCTCCTTCACTATTAAACACCACTAGGATATCCGAAGCAGCCACAAAGATGCCTGGGTTCATATGTCGTGGAAACTCAATAAACATAGCAAGCTGAAGTTCTAACATTTGGTAAGGTGGATCACCTGCCAAAGCAATATGAAAGGAGGAAATTTTTATCCATTAGATCTTTTAGGAAACTTTTAATCCTCAACATGGGTTGAATTGTGAGAATTTGGTCCTGTGTCATGATTATGCCTCATAGCTGAAAAGGTTATATATTTCCATCAATCGTTTGCTGGTTATAGGATTGATATTGTATTGCAGTAAGAAGTTACATGTTGTCCACCTTTGGGAGTTGACAGTTAAATTGACGTGACATTCTTTTGTTCTAAATCAGCATCTTTTATGGCAATTGCTCTAAAGTTATGGAATCAGCTACCGCTTGCCATTAGACAATTGAAAGTAACTCTGCTCATAGTTTTAAAAAGGGTGTTGAAAACATACCTGTTTAGTGAGAGCTCTTTCTTTTAGTTGTAAAAAGCACAGACATTTATACATAGAACGCATTTTTAAGAACTCTTAGCTAATTATTATTATCTTTCCTATGTAGCTCAGAAGGATTTGACAATTAGGGTTTCATGCTGAACACCTCAAGTGAGACCAGAGGGTATCACAACACCCCTACCCCAAGGTCAGCTAAGAAGCATCACTCCTTCTCCCCCCCACCCCACCCCCCAAAAATGTTGTTTTAAATATTTTCTAAAAGATTTTAGACTACGTGACCATGACCATCTACAGAAAAATACCCCTTACTCCCATTGAAAACCAACAATAAAGAAAGCAATTTGCAATTACTCTCTCATAATCATTTTGTAACATTTTCCTTTATTTTCTAATTCCAAAAATATTTATTTAAAATGAAAGATTTAATAGAAACAAATTATTAAAGGACAAAAAGCTGTTTCAACATGAAAATGTTTGTACAAATTTCTAGAAAGCTGTTCAACATCAAAGGCTATTTTTAAGCTTTCTCCTTTGAAAAAAGCAACATTTGGTTTTACGACATCACTCAACTCATTCATTCTTTTAAACCATGATATAAGTCAGCAATTCACCCTTAAACTCACAGAAGTGATTAGGATGCAACTTCTCCCTATTATATTCATACATCATCCAGCAAACAGGTAATAAGAATACTCAAATTTATCAAGTAGAAGTTGATATCTTGAACTAACTCCAAATTCTTATAACTAATTTACAAGGAAATGTGTAGCATTTTGAAGGGAGAATTTACAACTGGATCTTGGGATTTAAAGGGTTAAATATAAAACTGAATTTAAATATATTATATTAACTGTTCTTTAGTCTCTTCACTGCCTTTCATGGTACATTCATCACATAGGTACCCAAACCTTTTCATGTAATCATTTCTCTCTTAAAATGTAACTTACACAAAAGGCATTTAAATCAATCATTAGCTTCCATTGTATATCATAACCAAGTCCTCATTCCATACCCATGGTAACCAAACCATTTTGAAAAAATGCCCAAACTGATGTTAAAAAAACTTAAGTTTGAATTCAGTTCCTCACTCATGTTTGGTTTCACTATGTAGAAAAAATCACACAACTGTTGCTTTCCCATCAAAACCATTCTGAATGACGATAAACGCCCACTCAACAAAACATTATTTTTTAACCAAAGGAGTATTTTTAATGAATTGTTTCCAGAGAAACAGTCTGGTAAGCTTTTCTTGTAATAATTTCTCTCTCAAAATGAAACTTATATTAAAATTAACGCAGGTGTTTAACACAATTGTTAGCTTCCTTTGTAGATTATATGCAATTACTCATTCCATTCCCATGGTGACGTGGACCACTTTGAAGAAACTTCCAAAAATGATGTCTCCATGGTGTTTGGTTTCACAAAGAAGAAAAATAAAACAATTGATGCTTATCCATAAAAAAAAAATTCTGTATGACAACAAATGTCCAATCAACAAACCGTTATTTTTTAACAAAAGGAGTCTTATGAAAGGATGGTTTCTTTGGAAACATTCTAGTTAGCTTTTTTCTTGTTATCATTTCTCTCTTAAAGTGAAACTTGCATCAATTTAAAGCAGGTGTTTAACCCAATCATTAGCTTCCATTGTAGATTATAAGCAAGTCCTTATTCCGTTCCCATGGTGTCCTGCACCACTTTGAAGAAACTGCCGAAAATTATGTTGAAAAACTGAAGTTTGGATTCAGTTTCTCCCTGATATTTGATCTCACAAAGAAGAAAAATCACATCATTGATGCTTACCCATAAAAAGAAAAAAAACATTTCTGTATGACAACAAACACCATCAGTTTCTTTCTGATGTTTAATTTCACAAATAAGAAACATCACCACTGATGCTCACCCATAAAAAAGAATATCCTGTATGACACCAAAAGATAATTAGCCAAAACGTACATGTATTAAATTAAACAAAGGATTATTCGAAGGGATAGTTTCTTTGGAAACATTCCAGCCATGAAAACATTCACCTGCAGCAAATAATAGTTTTCAAATTTTGGAAAATTTAAACTCAATATTCCTTGCAAATGTGAAATTCCTTTATAAAATATTGCCAAAAAGATGCCTGGTGTGAATTAGTATCAAGATTAGACAAATATGTGACTTCTATAGGAAAACATTTTTATTCGAATGCTCACGAGAAAATTCTTTACGTGTTCATACTGTAAATAAATATGCATGCAGAAAACTTGACATGAAGATACATGGCAAATGCACAATTAATACTAGGATAGCAAGATCTTAATTCAAAATTTAAAACTCCACGCAGTTAATACTTTTCAAACTTTTTAAACTTACCAATAGGAAGGGCAGTGAATGCTTTTCCCAGAACACTTGCGTTTGGCAATCTTTGGCTATAACCTCCGGCAGGTAACATAATGATCTTCAAGTTCATCAACTCCTCCTCTTCATAAATCTTTAAAAGATCACCAATAGTGACGAGTACTGATCCGCCGTTACCGATTTTCGGCCCGGGCGGGTCATGGAACACATGATATTTTACCCCAAGGGGTAATTCTTCTCGCGCGAGCTTGGACTCAAGTTGAAGATCATAGGCATTTTTTTGACCTTCATCAAGAGCAGTAATCACAACTATGTCCCAGAAGGGAATATTAACTTCTTTTCCACGGATTGAATCAAAAATTTGTAAATTCTGTTGCATTGATCTTCGTATGTTGCAGCTTGTTTGAGGGAAGTCATGACCTTCCGCGCCTGCCATCTTCTCTTCCTCTGACACAAGCAGAGTGAAGACTGGTGCAAATATATACACCGGAGTCCAGGCCCTTCCCGAGCTGTAAAAAAATGGCGGATGTTGAATCTCTGTTCGAATTCGTCCACATGGAAATTGTGGCATACTTTCTCAATAAACCTGGAAAAAATGTCGATGTGAGTATCAATTTGATTTCAAATTGTTCTATATTAATTTAAGATAACTGAAACATGAATGGTGATAGTAATTTTCGTGTTTGATCCTTTTAGAATGATGTTATACAAAATCTTGAACGCCTTGGGTTTGGAGTTGGGCAAAGACTTGTGGAAAGGTAAGGATATTTGATCCTTCTCGACCCTTTACCACCCTAACATCAGTATACATATTCTCCAAACTATTTTTCATACATTTCGTAGCCTGCTGATGAGGAGAAGTTGTTTCACAATCAAGAGTCTCTTTAGTTGGTGATCATTTCCTTGTATTCTCACAACCTTATATGTGATCGCAGTGGTAATATTGAAAGGAGAAGTTAGAAGCTCTTTACTCTTAAGGGTTAAAGGGTTAAAAATTATATATTTATCTCAAGTGTGTATGGGTTATGATTCCCTAGTCAAATGTGCTACAGATTGTTGCTTTCGAGTCATTCCTAGAGTCTTTCATTTTGTGGAATTCCCTGTCTGTTGATATATTAATTTGCAAATTGAAAATCCAGTGATTTAAGGAAACTTGAATAATCATGGCTCTTCAATCACTTTGTAGATTCACTAAAGATTCAGGTCGCTTTAAGGATGAACTTGAGATCATGAAGTACATTTGTAAAGATTTCTGGACAGCTGTTTATAAGAAGCAAATTGACAATTTACGAACAAACCATCAGGTAATAAATGTAAATGTAAACTTTGCTTACATTGAGGATATTTTCGACTCTTAAATTGCATTATCTACAAAAGGAATCACATTTAAACAAGTGCTATCATAGCATGTAATCTTCACCTAACAGTATTATTAGATATCATTATTGTCATTAATAATTCTTATTTTTCACCTTAGGGTACATATGTACTCCAGGACAATAATTTTCAGCTGTTGACACAGATGTCAGATGGAAAACAATATACAGAGGATGCACCCAAGGTTTAACTTGCAAAATTTGCTTTCTAATTTTCATTTTTTAGCTCCAAACACTTTCTTGTAAATATGTAAGGTGAAGAAAGTGTTAATTCAAGATGAAGATATCACTTTCTAGCCAATGCATATATCTATCTTAAATGACGCTGTATCCAACTTGTGAGAAGTTACTCTCAAATCACTTTTGGGAGTTACAACTATTCCAGAAGCCGCTATGGTCTAATTCTCAATTCTCATGCATTGAGTTAGAGACTTAAACAAACAAATTCAATCTTATGTTCTCACACTGAAACTATTATTTTCATGCTTTTATGGTTTCTTGTTTAAACTGTTCATTCTTAGATCACAAAATCCTGTTTTAGCGTAATAGCAATGAAATAAATTATCTTTATTTAAAAGTATAATTTAGTCCTTTATTCCTTTTCTACTTGGTTTGAACACTTTCCAACAGCGGAAATTCTTGCTCCAAATAAAAGAATACATGTCTTAGCTACTTCATCAGTTTTTAACAATTTTATGGGGAGCTGTCCCATACCCCCCTTCTCAAGTAGTTGATGCCAACAGCATCTCACTCCTTGCCAATCAACTTGAGAGCTCTGGAATAAAAATGATAGAATGTACACATCTTAGCGATAGTGTACCAGTATGTAGACTCAGCTTGCCATACTAGTTTATTGCACTTTTTGCCAAGATTAGGGATCTCTGCCTCGTAGTTCACAGACCACATTGTGTTTTAATATACATTTTTTTTCAGTTCTTAGCCTTTCCATGTGGTCTTATAAGAGGAGCCCTATCAAACCTTGGTCTTACCTGTTCAGTGAGTGCAGATGTGTTATCCATGCCTAAATGTAAGTTATCATCTCTTCATTTACACTGGGGCAAGGTTGGAGATATAACAGCCTTACAATAAGCTTGCAAGGCTGTACATCAGGCACCAGTTGTTTGTAAGGTGGATATTGCTATCCATGGGATAAATCTGTATCTGGGAGATAGGGCAATATATTTTTTGAACACTCTGATGGATAGTGTTATCTGCCCTTTGAACAACTGGGTCCAGTTGTCGGTTGTTAGTCCCATTCCAGGTGATCAGGTTTTGTGAAAGTGCTTTGCAATTGAGTGTTGTAGAACTGCTAAACATTTGTGAATGCTGAGTTTTAAATGATGTCACAAATCTTTTTGGTTTTAGTTTTAATTATTTATAATCTTTCCTACTTTATCTGGGTTTGGTTGACTTTGCTCTACTTTGCTTTACAGGTAAATTTCAAATTGTCATTCCAAAATCATAGCAATGATTTTACAGAAACTCACATTTTAAAGGTTTCTTCCCTGAATGGAAGAAGAGATTTTTTTCTCAAGACTGGTGATACACTAGCACTGTATTCGAGAACATGCATTATTGACAAGTTGTAGAGCTACTGAAAAAGAAAGCCAAGTTTGAAGTTTTCTTGAACTTTACTAACTACAGATTGTATATAAATTATCAGTTATTTGTAGAAAGTTAATGTAATTGTATAAAAATGACAATCTCTCAGTCTTTTATCTACCTTGTATTGTGTCCTAATATCATTTCAAAGGATTTTACTTTCTTAGTGGTTGTTTTGGTGAATGATGTATATTATAGACTTTATAATCAATTTATTACAGACTGCCAATACCACATGGTGATCTATCTCAAATATTCCTAATAATAATTGATTGAAGCGTATTGTTAAGTGTTTATTCCTCTGCATTATGAATGTGCCTATCATCTTAAAGAGGTAGGATCCAATGTGGTGAAATGTTTGCAGTTTATGTTGATCAAGTTCAGATGCATATGATTTACAAATGGTTGCTTTAAGAATTTTGCATTCATTGTTAGATCACTACGATTTTCTTGTTTGCCTCTGCCTCAGAAACAGTGACCAGCTGTTTTACAAATTGGGAAGCATTTCCACATAGGGAGATGGTAGAGCTCTAAATGAACATTTTCCTTCTATTTGTGTCAGATGGGAAATCTTTGTGGTAGCCTCTAGTAAGATATGGGAGCATCCTGATATGACGTTTCAGTGATGTGTTCCCTATGCCAGACTTGAGTTAATCAGTCACTGTAATATTCTATGGAGGCTTTAATAACCCTCACCCTCCCTGTGGGGGCTTCCAGATTGAGCATTGTCTGGAGAGAAAGTTGGGAAGGGGTTTTATTATGGAGGGGGGTGAATAAGAAACTTTATTTTCTGGATGAGTGGCTTTTTTTTTTTTAAAGAGAGAGGAATGTAAAGGGGCATTTTTGTGACATATATACATGGAGGAAGGGCAAAATGATCCTTAGTGCTGTATTTTTTGTCTAGGCTTCTTACGTCTCCATAATTTTTTTATTTTTTCCGGATCTTTAATCATGAAGAAGACCTTTAAATGGGACACCAAATGCAAACACTGTCAAAGACTGTATTTTGAATGTGCTATTATGTGCAAGTTTATCATTGACAAAACATTGTGAAGAACACTTTATTTCCATAAAAATGTGTGCATGAGGTAGTTGCATGAAATGAAAACAAATACACAAAGTTTTAGTGTATTTTAAAGCTTTGCATGTGTTGCAAGCGTCTTCTTTTTTAAAAGGTCAGCCAATCATCTTATTTCCTTTGTTACTTTCCATCTTTTCAAGAACAACACCTTCTGTGAAGGTTGTGCTTTGAAGTCTCTGAAAAAAGTAAAAAAGACAGAGAAGGAAAATAAGGGTGAAATTGATTACCATAGTAGGGAGGGAATGCAAATGTTAGACATTAATTGAGAAATTGAGGAATTTATGAAATTAATTGAAAAATGGTTAAGAAAAACCCAATAGCTATCAAATCTTTTTCCTTTGTGAATGCACAGCTTCTGTTCTTTCAGTCTATACTACTTTCTTTTTTTAGCGAGTGAATACCAATTGGTGAGAGTTCCAGCCAGAATTTTATACTTTAATGCACTTTTTTTAACTTTAATATTTTAATGCATAAAAACACTCCAAGAAGGTTAACACACCTCTAAAGAAGAGCCTTCAGCATTACAGAGCACTTTGACAGCGGTGATGGGTACACACAACATAGAGGCACAGGCTATAATCCAACCCAGGCCCTCAGCCCATTTAGGGTATGGTCTTTCCTCGTATGTCAGGGGCTGATACTTGATGACACTGAACAGGAAGATTCCCTGAAATAAAACCGGTGGGGTAAGCAAATCTTAGACTACGAGCAGTTCTGCCTTTCGGCAAAGTCCGTCGTGGGAGTCAAAAATATTAGTGAAAACACAAAATAGCAGGCTTGAAACAAGGCACGTTTTTGTCGCGTATGATCCCATGTTTCTTGAACGAGTTTCTGTAAAATCTTCACTTCAGATCTCCCGGTAATTATGGTAATCCTATTATTTTATCAGTCTGACCCTACTGCCAAGATTCTCGTGTTTAGTGATCATTGAAACTGGAGATGAGCCGTTCCAAAATTATTTATAGTGATTTATAAACTTAATCACGAAATGCAAGCTATGGCAAATACAATGCATAAAAGAAGTTTGATCTTTATTTACTTACAATCACCATCACAGGCGAGACAAACTTCCAACAGATCACCCACCACTTGGACACAGGGTACCCAATAGTTCTCGCGATTTTCTCTGCGAAGTCTTGCGCTCCTGCATGATCAACAGTGTGACGAGTAAACGAGTGTTATTTGCAACTATTCTTCAGAAGTAACTTAGTATTATCAACCGAGTAGATAACGTAAATTGATCACCGTTAAGAGTTTAAAAGACGACGCAGCACCATAGTTTCTATAGAAGCTTACCCCCTTTATTCTACAGAAGTGGTTCTTTGTACTAAATATTTAAATGCGAGTTGGTTACCCTGCGAGAATGAGCCGAATGTCGACGATGTCATGCCAGGTTTTATTAGACAAATTTTTTAGTGCATCAATCTCAGTGAAAAAGTTTAATTTGAGTAAATCGGTATCATGCAAAAAAACGTGGGCCTACAGTAGTACAATGACGACAAAGGTTTTTGAAGAGAGAACGCGGGGAAAATTCGTGCTAGAGGATAAAATTGGGCAAAAACATTAACTGGGAGCAGGTCTTACTTATTAGCGCATTGGCAAGAGCACATCCTGTAGTGCTGAATAATGAGAGTTTCCTCTTCCAGACCAATAGAATAAAATTACTTGAATATGTGTCATTCTCACCATAAATCCAGCCGACAACCATCAACTCAAATATTACCAAAAATAGTAACGAAATTCCAGCAGAAAACGAATCAAGCAAGTTGAACACGTATATACCTCCCTGAAATTACATTAAGAGATATTTAAATTAGTTTAAATCTTTCGGAAGTTTTCGGACACTTCGAATTAAACAAGTTTCAAATTTGTGCTCGTCAATAGAATCGTAACCCTTTTTGATTTCAAATAGTGATTACTATCTAATTTCTCCTTACAATATCACCCCTGAATCACATATTAAAGTCACAAAAAGGCAATGATCACCAACTGAAGAAATTCTTGATTACTGAACAAATTCTCCTTGTCAACACCTTGAGAAATGTATGAGGACAGTATGGAGATTATGCATACTGATATTAGGGTGTATGAGGTTAAAGATGAAACCATATGGGTGGTTTGCAACTTTCCGAGAATGAAATCGGATATTAAAAAAAAAATCATCGTGAACTGTGTCAAAAGATGGCGGGGAGTGGGAGGGGGGAGTAGGGATTACATTTGATCGTGTAGTCTGATCGTCCGGGTGACAGTAGTCCTGAGAAGGACTGACACTGTCGGTAGGGGTGACTGACATTTCCACAACCTTAGCGGAAGTCATCGTCCCGGTCGAGTGAAGTCATAAGTCCGGTTCGCCGGTGTGAACTGATTGGTCGGTTTAAGTTGTTGAAACGTCGGTCACAGCCGACAACAGTCCTTCTCAGGAGAACCTCACCCGGCGTTACAAATTTTTTTTGGGATTTCAGAAAGGGAGCAGCGAACCAAGTTAATTGCACACATTATATTCTCACCTGTGTCACACAAGGTAAACCCAAAACAAACATGATCAGGCACACGACCAATACAACAGCTTCCCTGTATCTGTGTAGCATCTCGGGGTATTGGTCAATGATGGCGGCTGCTACTACTTCTACTTGTCCAAACTGATAAGTTCCAAATGGGAAAGGCACAGTACGGGTGAAATAAGGACGTAAAAATGTGAAATAAAACCTTATCAGGTAGACAAATCAAGTCTGAATTCTACGTGCAACTCAGAAAAGCTTAATGTACCGAAACCGTAAGTGAGAGCTCAGAAATGATTATAAGTGCTGTCAGAGCAGCTAGTTTCCTTGCTAACCCACATGTCAAGGGCCGGAAAATGAATACGACTAAATCGCGAATGGTGATTTAAGTCGTATCTGATCGGCCGAGCCAGAGAGATCATGTAGCTTGAAGAACCAAACACTTTTTTTCTAACCATGCGCGTGAAAACGCTCATGATTAGATTACAATTGGCAACTCTACTTGTATCTAACTGGCTGAGCTGTTAGGGCCATGTAGTTTGTGCAACCAATTAAATCAATATATTTCCAACATGAGGTAAAACAAGTTTGAAAGCTTTTTCGTTTAATACGGTTTAGAACTGTTTTCTTCATAGAAGTTGCTTTACCTGTTCTTTATCGACTTAAAATTTAGCACAATGAAAACACACGTTAATGATAGCTTAGTCTCTAAAATCCAGTTTTTCAGTTTTCCAGTTTCCCGTCGCTGACTTTCTTTTAATTAAAACTGGTTTTATAAACTAAACATGTTTTCCAGGTGTGAGCGGGGCAAAAGATAGCCTTCAGTCACCTGACTATCGAGACCAAGGGTTATAAGCATGAGAAAGAAGATCACAGACCAGATCTGTGGCGCGGGAAGTTCTGCTAAAGTGGCTGGGTAGACAATAAACACCAGACCTGGACCTGCAGGTTAAATAACAAGCAATGTCGGTCCATTATTGATGTATAATGCTTTAAACAAACTTGCGTTTGTGATCTCTTGTGTACAGTGGGTTTAATGTAGGTTTCGCCCTCTGCCAGTTCGCCTCATCAAGTACAACAAGTTCGCCCAAATTTTAGCAGTTCACCATAAAATCTTTAACACGTTACCTCACAGCAAAACGTGTTTATTTTTAACGAAATCATGATAAATTTCATCATCAGGCAGATCTCTTGCTCTTACCAAAACGCTCTATTAAAAAAAGTATGCTAACTCGCTTTCAAACTCCGGTGGCCTCTGTGTTGCGCGAGTGCGTACGTTGAAGACGATATTGATTGATGCTGAGGCATTTTAAAGGAAAAACAGAGTGAAGAAACGGCTTGAAAGATTTAGGGGTTAACCCGTCAAATTTGACACAGCGAATGCGTCAAGATGGGGCGAATTGGTCAGAAGTCGAACTTGAAATGGGGCGAATTGTCCGGACACCCAAAGTAGTCTTTAGGGAGGTGATATAGAAAGGTTTCGAACTTCTTTCGGAAACATCGGGCGCTGGGAGATCTTAGTTTCTCGTGAGGTTACGAACCATCGGATCTTTCAATCTTGCCGTCGGATGCTCTACGAACTGAGTGACACATAACTTGATGATGTACCGGACCATATACGGGGTTTCGTTGTGAAAGGAGTTTTATATACCGCTGAGATAAAGAGTGTAAGAAGTGACTTTTGTGAAAATGGTTATGGCCAGGAATGTCGTGACACAGTCCTTTAAAATTAAGTAATGTACCTTGAGAGGCCACTTCCGCTGGGGTGCTCCCCTGGATATATGCCATGTGGCCCACTACGGCGAACACAACAAAGCCCGCAAACAGGCTGGTGCAGCAGTTGACAAGGGAGATAACCAAAGCATCCCTGAGAGAGAACAGTTCATTTAGTTTTTCTTAGAGTCATTTCATAAATCTCTGATGACATCTATTTCAACTCTTAATTATAAACATTCTTTCGAAGAATGTGAAATTGATTGATAAAGCTGTTCATTATGCTTTGTTCTGTAGGAAAATTTATAACAAAACAATCTTAGCCGTCAACCACGACAATGCTTAATGTCACAAGAGATGAGAACTCGAAGTAAACTGACTCAGGGCGATAAAATGCGACGGACTGAGTAGGGTTGATCGGGCGGGGCGACTTTCTTGACCCTTCACATCCTAACATGCATGGTCTCCATACTGTTCTCTATACCTTTCTGAGATACGTTTTAATATACCGAATTCGTTTTGCCATTTTTTGCCACAAGTAGACAAATTCGAAATAAAACCTTCCCTCTTTACTCGTGTCTCCAGAGATTTCGTATCCTAAATTTAACGCTAGAACATCGAATCCGAAAACTTTTAAATCAACTCTAGCCGTTTTTTTTTTTGGCGGCATTTTGTTGTCATCGATCACGGCAAGAAACAGCCTTGTACCCACACAATTCAGAGTGTTTGCGGATTAATTGACGTGCGTAAATGGTTGGGAATCCAGATACACATTGATTGTAAACGCTTATGAATCCGATAACCCTAACGTTGATGAATTCAGTAACATTTATGAATCCGAAAAAATCTCCTCTGGAATAAACTAGTCTTAATATTTGCTACAGAGGAGAAATTCGATGCCTCAGACCGAGTCACTCTCGGAGATTAAGTGGTTAAGTGGTTAGACCACTCAGTAAGATTAATCCTTTCACTCCCATGATCTAATTAGTAATTTCTCCTTACTATCTGCCATACAATTCTTATGATGTTAGTTCAGAGAATTTAGTATTGGATCAACTAATAATCCCATAATTGATATTCTTCTCTATTCTCATCACCTGCCTGCTTGATATTGTATTGATATTGTAAGGAGAAATTCTGTCTTGGTCACTTGCGGGAGTGAAAGGGTTAATGAAGTAACAATTCTTCAATCCTGGACACAGCGACTGAAAACTGCTATGTTTAAAATAAAACTATTCACACTTACTTATAAACGTTGTTCTTTTTTTTGTTGTAGCTTGCAAATCCTATGAGAACTCCAAAACCGATTGTCAACGAATAAAGGATTTGTGATGCTGCATCGATCCAAACCTTAAAGAAAAAGGCGATCTCTTTTGAATCTTATCAGTTTGAATCACTTACCTAAATAACATCCTTTAGATTGTGACAAGCAATCGTTTCCCGTTCTTAACATATCACAACTTTCATTTCAGTGCTTATCTGCAAGGAAATTGTGAGTTTTCAGTTGAATGAGGCGCGACGGAAGTTTACGTTCACATTTTAACGTTAAAATTGTGTTGTTGTCACAGGCGACCAGCTCCGTTTTCAGTGGCAACATTTCGTTTGACCGCTTCTAGCGGCTTTCACGTATAGCATTTGGTGACGCCCAGCTCTTGAGATTCGGTTATCATCGGAAATAAGAAAGGTTGCCCGTGACAACATCATAACTTTAACGTCAGAGCCAGTTACCAAACTGTTTCTGTACCTCACTCAACTTGAAATCGAAGTAAAAGGCCTATGCCGGAATGTTAAAAACGGTCTTATCGAGGACGCGCAAATTTAACCTCATTTAACCTCATTTAACCTCATATTATTGGCCACCCCTAGACCTTCATAAATGTTAAAACATCCATGAAGGTCTAAGGATGGCCAAGGATAGAGAAGATTGAAAAAGATTCAAAGAAACGACTTTGGAAATCTTAGGCCGAATTTTTCAAGGTGAACAAACGGTGACGCAGATCTCAAAAAGTGATTTACCTTCGGGTCTGCGAGTCTTGACCAAACCGGTGTCACGTAGTACACCATACCGCTTGAAGATCCGGGTAGTGTCAATGCCCGGATGAAAAGAATGATCAAGAACACGTAAGGTAACGTAGCTGTGACGTAAACGACCTTGCCAGTTGTACGAATGCCTTTCCAGATGCAGAAATACACTAGTACCCAGGCCACAAACAAACACGCTACCAATTTAAGGTTCATATAGCCAGGTTTGTTAATTCCTTCAGACATGTCAAGAACATTGTGTCTGTAGAGAGATTAGAGAATGAAATGTTACATTACGCTAACACCCTAAAGCTGATAAATTTGCCTGTTCTCGATATACGTTTGCTGAATGAAGAGTTGTTATTAAGATAAAAAGTTATTGCTAGTGATTCCGTTTATTTTTCATCCAATGTACTTAGCCTCAAAAGCAGCTGCTAACAGTTTTCATACTTGTGGCTTTTATGATTCAGTTCTTACACCAGAGCTATTTCAGTTGTTGGGAGAAATTGCAAATTCCAGTTAATACTTTTGGCTAAACATTGGTGATATGCGGTTATCATCATATCAACTAAGCATGTTACCTCAGAAAGAAAATGATCTTTCAACACATAATCTTGATTAAAAAACAAGAAATACAAGTTAACTCCTAAAAGTGCTAAATTCTCGATAGATCCAGCGTTTTTCTCGAGTATCGGTTTGCTTATATATTCTGATGGGCATGGCGCATAAGATAAATAAGATAAGACGTATCAAGGGTACTTACATGAAGAATTCCCTGCTCGAAGACACCCTTGTGGTATTTGTAAGATTGTTTTTTGAGCCGACTTCGTAACAGCTGTCCGTATTCCAGGTATGGTGACAGCCAACCCAGGGGATGTCAGGCTTAAATGAGTTATAAAGATAGTAGATACTCCAAGCGAGGATGACATTGTAATAAACAGACACTAAAAATGATACGGTCACCATGGCAATGCCAACACCTAAGAAAGAATAACAGTAGTCGTTAATTTTTTTTTAACAAAAAATATTTCATTTTAAGTGTTCTCATTGGTTCACTCAACTCCAGTTATCACCTCATATTCCGAGTCACCTTATATGGAAATACATTGCGCCAACTGGTGCAAAGCCCAAAAAAAGGCTCCAAATATCCAAACGTTCGGAATTTAATGGAAATTGATAAAATAATTATTCCATTCAGTGATATGGTAATGGTTATGGCCAACTCGGCGCGTCATATCTCAACGGGCGCTCATGGAAAATTGAAGAGAGTTATTCACAAAGTCATCGCTATGTTTGGCAAAGTAGCAAAGACACAACAGAAAAAAATAAAGCAGATTTTGCATGAGAAAAAACTTTTAAATGATAGTGGGTGGAAGAAATGAAACCAACGAAGAAATATGGCATCAAAGCTTGTTTTCAGCCAGTTACATGGCTTAGATGTCGGATTAACAAATATTGTTGATGACAATCATTTGAGTAACTTGGACGGAAGTCCTTATCGGAACGATCGCTTAAGGTGACGTAATGCCTCCAAAACAACATGCACCAACGATGCGCACGCACCATTCTTCGTGCCCTTACCTGAAAAGAGAGGGGAGATTTTTGCCCACGCCTTAATAGGCCCTGCCTGAAGAACTTGTCCAATGCTGAGTTCCATGAAGAACAAGGGAATACCCCCAAGGAGAAGAAAACAAACGTACGGGATAAGAAAAGCACCTAAATAGTAAAGAAAGATCATATTTTAAATTTCTTTTGTAATGTTAAAATCGAACAACCGTACAAGGGAAAAATGAATGAATGAGTAAATAGATAAAATACCTATATAGGTGGAGCCTCATTCTCAGGGAGGAAGAGAGGATCCTGGAAACGAGGTTATCACGACGATACAATAATATATATTCTAACCAATTCATTAAAACGCAGTGCGTATTTCTAGAGACGCGTTTCTGGCTTTTCCGCTCTCATTGAAAAAAAGATGATAATTTGAAACACGAGATACTCTGTATAGTATCATAACTAATACTTCGCACGTATTAAAACTGATCCAAATCCCTTTAAGAACTTGCAACGATGACCTAACCATTTAACCCCCGTTGCGAATCTATCTTCTCCTCACACCATCACCCCTGAATCACGCATACAGGCGATGAGAATAAAGGAAATGATCACCAACTAAAGTAACTCTCAATTGTAAATTAAACTCTCCTAGTCAGCACCTTAGAAAATATATAGAGAACAGTACGGAGAATATACATACTGATGTACGAGTGTAAAGGTTTAAAGAAACAGCAGCGGGGTACCGCGTAAGGTCATATTAAGTCATACCTCCACCATTTCTAAAGCACATGTAAGGAAATCGCCAGAAGTTCCCATAACCCACCGCGAACCCGATACAAGCGAAAAGAAATTCGAGTTTTCTTCCCCAGTGCTCCCTCTCAACAGGCTCTGGTCCAATCATCTCAACACAGACTTACCAGCACTTCGGCTGTTGCGCTTTCTATAAAAAAAGGAAACAGTCAGGTGTAAATGATGAATTTGTCAAAGAAGCAAGTTTTCCAGTCAAACGTTTCACTCTGAGCGATTCATTTGCATGTTATCGGAATTAGTTTTGACTTTGTCTGAAAAGGAACACATTTTGCTGTAATTAAGCACGTTGAAGAACTTTTAAGGGTGGGGGCAAACTTGTTGCCTTTGATGAGGCGAATTTTTCGTAGTGGAGCGAGCTAATAAGTAGAAGACTGGTACTAGGAGTACCTCCGTAAACCGATTCAGGAGAAACACCCGTAAATGAATTTAGGATTGTCATTAGTAAAATCATTATACTGTCGTAGTAAGCATGGCATGTTGCCGGGGGTTATACTCCCCTAGAAAAAAAATTGAAACTCTCAGAATGTGACTCCAGCATTCTGGGGTATATATTTCAATGATTTTATTTTTGCCAGACATCGATGTTAGAATCAGTTCAAAACCACTTATTTTCTGCCTTTTATCAAATTCACGCAGAAGCTGGCGCATATTAATCTGACAGCCGGCGCATTTTTGCTGCTTATCGGCCTTCAATGACAATCCCTTCAATAGACCAGTCTTTTATCATGATGGACACGTGGCGTTTGTCTCGATTTGTACACCATTACTGAGTCTAGTGTCAAATCTCATTGGTAATCTTTTTCGTTCTATTTTCATTGATTTAATGCTAAGGCAGGGGTAGTTTTTGATAATGCAGTAAGCTTAATTTTGTTTCGCCTGTTAAAGTTTGGTGTTTTCCATGAGGTCTAACTCATTTCTCTGTTTGCTTTTTTTTTGAAATTTTGAATATTTTGTTTTGTAAACACCACATGTTGAAACCTCTGTCAAAGGAATCACATATTCCTTGATTTAGACACAAAGAACAACAATTGGCTTCTGTAAAGATGTAAAAGAACAACTTAAGCACTGCCTTGCGTACATGCATGTTTAGAGACCTCAACCAGTCGGAACGAAAACGCGATGGAAGAGGTCGATTTTAGTATTAGAATTTCGCGAATGGCTGGATGTGTTTACCGTCTCTAACGGCGCCACACCTCTTCTGCGACATACAAATGTATGTAAGCAGTGATGGGTTCCAAATACAAAATTGAATAATTTGCCCACGGAGTTTCTCTTCTCAGACCACGCAAATTTTGGTGATTCACGTCGTTGTTTTGCAAAGGACGGCTAAGAAATCTTCAGAGTTATAAAATGCACCTGCTGAGTTATGGTTCTGCCCATTAGATGTTTTGTTTTGCCTCGTCCTAGTTGCCATTTTCGTCGTCATCCTGATATCTATTATTATCGAGAGCATTTTAAAGGGCTTTCAAGTGCCTGCACTCACCTTTTTTAAAGCTTTCACAATGTCTACTCAAACCTTCCAAGTATCTTCAGATGCAAAGATAATGTGATTTTTGTCTCCGTCAAGACGATAATGGTCATTGCGAAGCCTATGAGTCAAATTTCACTTTTTTCAACCTTTCAACGCCTCTAACTGCGGTAGGATTCCAATTTGTTAAATTTTGATCGCGCTGAAGTAGATTTTTGTGACGCAATAGTAGAGTCGCGTAGAGCACAGTCGGTAATAGTTAGTACACGCGCGCTGGCGGGAAAGATGACGGCATCGTCATTTTCCTGTCAAAGTTTTGAGAGGAACTTTAAAGACACTGAGAAGGAGCCAGTTTCTCAAATTTTTTTTATGGGAATAAAAATTTAGAATAAAGCTTTTTTTCTTCATCTAGTTATTTTTCTAAATTGACAAATCAAGCAGGGAATGGCGATAATAAGGAGCAAAGAAGCGAATCCATTGAAATTATTTAGAAATTCAAATAACGTAGAACGCTGCCAGAACGCTGCTATTTCGCAAGCGGGGAAAGTGACTAAGAGATGCAATATTATATAGTACTCGGACCAAATTTGTTTATTTAAAATTTGCCGGCTTTTACAACCAAACTATGCGGTTTATGACCGTTTCAGAGCTGGGGAAGCAATCCATACGGCAAAAGACAGATCGAGTAACTGACCAATCAGAATGCTCGGATTTACCTCAGGGTTACCTTGCCATATAATGAAGAGAAGAATACTATCTCCTTGAGTTTTGTCAATGATAATTACTAGAAAAAGTGGATACGATATTTCGTAAATACTTTCTAACCACATAAATTTTGTTATTATTATTATTATTATTATTATGGTGTCTTATCCAAGAACACACAGGGAAGGATTTTTGGGGTCAGGAACTAAAGTTAAACCTCTTGCCGACTCGCGTTACTTTCCCGCGGGCGAAGGAAAGCTGATAATGATGGTATTCTCGCATGCTAGGATCAACGGGAAAAAAGCCACTCTATATTCTCCGCTCGACAAGAATAAAACGGTTCTTAATCCGGCAATCATCAAATTTCACATTTCGTTAGTGTTCATATCAAAATGATTTTATTTACATTAATCACGTAAATCCCAAATACTTTCATACAGTTTCATTTACAGCTGCTTCCGGAGAGGATGTAGGAAAAAAGGACAAAAGTGCACGCGACAATCTCGAAAGGTAATATGGGTATATCCGATGACAGGAGCCATTACTTATTTGATGGGCTCCTGCCGATGATAAATGAATTTTAATGAATAAAATATATAATAAGTTTGTCAAACCCACTATGCCTCGTCCTTATCTCGTACCCAGTTCCTATATGCTTAACCGTGGAATGACTAGCCTCGTCTTCATAGTGACGTTTTCTGAGATTTCCCTGAAATCCTAAGGTCAAGGAGCCGTGACCTGAAAACTACCCATAATACTTTCTGGGGTTGTCACGCGCACTTGTATTTTTTTTTGTTTTGCTGGCAATCCATCTTGAAAGGGGTTAGTTTGGAGACCAAGTTAAGTCAAATGGTACTCAAGATCCCCCCGAATAATATACAAAGTGGTGTTTCCTAGCTTCAGTATAATGATGTAAATCCAATATTATCTGATAATGTTTCCATTGCTCTATTTTTCTACAAAATACGTGGGCAATGTCTTGAAGATTCTTTTTTTTCAGTTATGATGTATTTTCAGCGTTGTAATTTGATGCCAATTGCAGTTTTTTTTTGGAGCAATGGATGATGGGATCTGGGAGCCCATCTGTCATTCAATGAGAGATTCAGTTAGGAATGGACCACCGACCTAGATGAGATAATTATTTTTACGACATTCATATTTTTTCCTGATAAAAAATTGTTATAATCATCCAAAAATAATAAGCGCCCCTAATTACTCTAACCTATGCACTATTTCATCTTTAAAAGGATAGTAACTTTGAAATCTTGACATATCTTTCACCATAAGCTTCAAAGGAGGTCAATTTTCCTCATATGTACGAAGCTGTCGTCGCGTTTGATTTTCCTTCAGGGTTTTTCCTTTTTTTTGATCTGCACCGAATCAAACTTAGGAGGCCAGTTTTGCACAAGCCGTTGATCGATATATAGTACGATGAAGCTCAAGATTAACTTGTTTGATTGAGTTTTTTGGAAAGCTTTTTAACTGTAAGAATAACTAATTCGTGTTCTTTTAAGCTACACGGTGGAATACACGAATACCACGCTGTCATAATTCTTTCCGCCCCTTTTTTTATTTTCTTCCTGATCCTCACTTTTTAAGAAGCCTTTTTCTCTATGGCTTCCACCTTTAATCGAAGACCTCCTCAAACTTCCGGAGAGCGAGTTTCCCTTCAAGCTCGTTTTACACAAAGATGAAGTTCTACTAAGCGGGCTTGGAACCAGGCGTTCTTTACAAAGAAGGGCGCGTGCAATGTAACGGAATGTGGCGATCATCTCACTGTTCCTGAAGGCATACACGACGGGGTTTAACGCGCTGTTGCCGTAGTGACAAAATTTAACGAGCTGAATCACGCGGAAAGTGCGTAGTGAGGACGGAAGGTAATGTGGGTAATACGTGCCAATCATGGTAACGACAAAAAGAGGCAGCCAAGCTGCAACGAAGAGTCCTGTAATGAACGCCAGCGTAATAGATAGCCTTAGGTCTTTTTTGTACGCTTGCCTCACTGCACGGTGCTGGCAAATGCTCTTTTTTCCGGGTTGGTTACGAGCAAAACGATAGATAAATAAATAGGCGAAGAAAATGACGATGAACGGAATGAAAAAGCACGTGAACGCCACGAGAAGCGTGTAAACGTCTTGCCAATCACCAGCAAACTGCACGGGTTGTAAACTTGCCACAATAGCTGCATACAACCACGGTATAGCGATCATGACGTAGAAAACTTTTATGGAGAGAGTTCTGTGACGTAACGGGCAGACGATTGCGTGACAACGCTCGACACTGAGCGCTGTAAGCTGCAAAATGGAAGCTCCTCCGATGAAAATGTCAAACGTAATGTAGAATGTATACGTTGTTTGGGTGGTCGAAGCATACTCGTAATATGATGTAAAAATGGCCAACCAGCAGGGAATTGAGACAAACCCGACAAGAATATCGCTGACGGCCAATCCCATGATTAAAGTGTTTGTGGCGGTACGGAGGCGTTTGTTTATAAAGAACGCGGATAGAATGAGTCCATTACCGGTTAAAATTACTAACAATAACACAGCGTAGAGACCGATCATTATGGCTAACTCCAGATGCGAGATTTTGGTCAGATAGCTGGATGAATTCGTACTTTGATTCATGTTCGGGAAAGCCAGTGCTTGGCCAGTGTTACGTCAGAGAAAAATGTTAGTTAGATCCTGCAAAGAAAAACGCGAAAATGAAGATGTAGATTGGAAACAAGGAAGTGTTAGACTCATTAGTAAAATGGCTGTAGCTACACTAGATCGACGTACTAAGTTCAGTAGACAATCTGTGTTGAAAAAGCGTTACCGCTAAACAAAACCAACCACTTTCAAATAAGGAAAAAGGAATACCATTCTGAAAGAAACCGCAAAATATGGGTTAATGCATGGTCGATCATTAAGCGTGTTGAGCTGTTGGTGTTGAGAGGGTGAGAGTGACAAAACCTAATTAGATCAGTCGCGTTCTTTCCGTGTTTCCTGGGATATTCCGAGTATTCAAAACGACTGATTCCTCTGTGCCAATTATTTTTTATCTTTTGTTGTGTGGAAATCCGAGAGCAACTGTGCATCTTTTCTAGCCTGGTGAAAACTCAAACTCTTTGATTTACAGCCGCGCAGCAAAGCTTCAACCCTTTCACTAACAAGACTTGAACGTCAGTTCTCTGCAGTATCTGTCATATATCTCTCACATATATCTGTCATATATTTTAAGCTCAGGAATTCAGTGTTAAGCCAAACGATATCCACTAGTTGATATTGTGCTTTCTGTTTATCGTTTTTCTGCTTACAATTCTAATGATATAAAAGAGTGAAATTTTTTCAGGTCTTTCCTTTGAGAAACAAGGCCACAGGAGCTTGAATTCATTTTTGCGAAAGGCTCAAGTACCTTTCATGTAAGGCGACGCAAAAAAGTTAAGTACTTATAAAAGAGGCAGGTATATAAGTGAATAATAACAATGGATGTAGAGATAATAACAACGGTGGCCAAGGTCCGAGAAGATATAGCGGACTGCGACGACGACCTTAAAAATATTTAGGCTAATATTTTTAGAAATGAAAAAATCAGTCATCTTGTTGCATCGTTTTCATTAGATGTCAGAAAACTATGGAAATACTAAGTTTACGAAGGAAAACCAAGTTACTAAGTTAGAGTGAACTCTAAAGACGGAGATGAGTGAACAAGGCTTACAATTGTCACATTTAAGAAATTCACGCCAATACTTTTAGATTTACAAACCGTGGCACAGCTTATGGCAAACAGCCGAGATTGAGTGATTCTATACAAACTGCAGTCCAGTGGCCCAATACGGTGCTGTTTCGATTCGAATTGGTCGGTTCTGACAGTTGAAGGAAAAAAAAGATCTTTAACAATCCTCGGACAAAACAGCGGGCGAATTGACAACATATAAACAGATTATTTTTTTTTGTAGCGCACACCTTCAGATATTGCGAAATTGCATGGCGGTCAGCTGCACGTATAACAACCGGCGCAAATATTTCCTGTTTTTTAGTTTTTTCTTTTGTTGCTCTGTACACAGAGATATATAAAATGCGAATAACACCTAGGGAGCTATGAGATTAAATGCAGGTAAATAAGGAAAACTACCTTATTATTTTTATCTTGAAATTGAGCAATAAAAGAAAACAGTTGTGGCAAACTTTGATAATATAAGTCTCTGTTTACACTCGAGAATTGAGGTTTAGGCGCTATTGTTTTTAAAAGTGAAGTGCTTTGCGCTTTTTGGCTTGTCGGGATTTGTTTTAAGTCAGTTTTTACCACAGTTTGTTCGTGGTCGAGGTAAAGCGGGTGTCCTTATTTTAGATTAAACGTGGCAATTTTTGAAAAAATTTTCCCCTCTTCCTTTTTTCAGCTTAAGAGGCTTTCCAACTTTATATCAAACCAATGGTTAAAAAAAAATCAGATTTTAATTAATCTATCTCAAAGACCGATTGTTATTGAAAAAAGATTTGCAAGACAAAAAAAATCTGAAGTAGAAGTCAATTATTCTAAAAGTTTTTTATCGAAATTTTTAATAACACTGTCGGAAATATATAAACATGTAAAGTACTTTGCGAAGCTTAGAATAAATAACTGCTTGTAGTACCGGAACGTTTGTCGATCAGATCGAAAGAACAAATGATTGGGTTGAAAAACGAGTCAATAATTCCGGTGGACAAAGTGTCTACCTATTTGAAGGACCTAGATTTGAATTGGAAGTTTGGCTATTCAATTTATCCCGTAAGGTTTAACAGCTGCATTTTCAATTATCCTTTTGCAATTTCTAAAACAGCTCCCTGCTTTGCTTTTACTCAGATTATACGAGATTGACAAGTTTTCTTTTACATTTTTTTGTTTATTATTACAATATGATGCCTTCTTTCAAATTAGAGGATGACTTAATCGTACGTGCTCAAAAAAAAATCGTTATCACCGTTAAATTTTTTTCTGATATGCCTGCTATCAATTCCTTCGATGTCAGAGATAAAATCGCTATAAAAGTGTGAATGATGAAATGAACTCATACATAATGCATGGTTAATGAAAGAATGAATCAACCTTATTACCTCGTTCGCAATGTGTGGTTTCGTTGCTCAATATGTCTGTCATAGAAGCTCCTCAGGGTGGAGGTGAAAGTTCCATTTAATTAGGCTTCGCTCCTTACAAGTGGAATAGTTCTTGGAGTAATTTTCAATTGAGAATCTAAAGAAACCCGGGACTGCTTTGATTGCACTTAACTTAGCTCTGTGATTGGTCCGGGAAACTCGCATCACCCTCTCAACCAATCGGATGAAAAGTAAAATCAATCACGACTACGTCAATCGCGTTTTCCCGCGCTTCAAGCAGTTTGTTTAGTTTCACTTAAAGTTCTCATTGGCCAAAAATAATGTAAACCTATGTTCTGATTGGTCACTGCACCCGTAAGCCTTTAACTCCCGTGAATGACCGAGACAGAATTTCTCCTCACTATATTTATACAATATCATGCAAACAAGAGATGAAAATAATGAAAAATATCAATTATCGGATTACTAATTGATCTGTTACCAAATTCTCCACAATAACATAATGAGAATCGTTTGGTGGAGTTAAAGGGTTCATACACCTCCGAAACCGATTTTCTGCACGTATGTTAAAGAAGCTATGACATGATCAGCACTAACGTCAACAACTTTCCACATTTAATGTTGATCGCACTAAGGCTTGTGCATTTCAAAGCAATTTCTATTTTTAAAGTTTGATTGCAAAAGAAAGACGTCCATTTTTCTCTTTCATACAGATTTTTAAAATTACTCCTCTGCACTCAAAAACCAATTTGAGCCAGTCTGGCATGTCACTTATCCTCTATCTGAGGTCAATTTCTACGTTTCCTTTCACTGGAAAAATGAAAGGTCGAGAAGTTCGAGGACTCTTCATAACGCTTATACCACACTAGCTAAGAGACTGTTAGGTAATACGAGTGCAATGCACTATGAAACACTTGCACTTGTCAAAACTCAGTACTAATAATTTTGTGCCGGTTTTTGTCGTCGTTCGTGTTAACTCAGAATAAACAAGCACCAGATTCGATTTTTCATCAATTTTCAGTACGCCCAGTTGTGACTAAACTATAATGGTCAAGTCCTAACTTGCATTTGATGATTTGTATTTCATTACAAAGATTTTAAATCTGACCGATCGCATATTCTTTTCAGCGCAATTTATGGTGTTGTTTTCTTTCGCCCTTTTTGAGGTTAAATCAGTGCAAATTTAGCAAATTATTTTCCCAATGCCGAGAAAGGCGAAATGTCTCTGCAGCAGTCAGTACTCTGAGACAATTACCTCATTAGAACAAGTCGCTAAAATCCTCGACAAAATTCAAACTAACTGGATATCGATAGAGAGATTTTATCACATTATCCATGTGACATGAAGCGAATTGTCGCTGCGACTTTCTCCCGCTGCTTTTGTGAATCTTGACCTGTATACTTACAACTGCTTTGATTTGCAAAGGCTGTTATTGTCGTTTCAAATACTGGAAGTAAAACCGAACCATGAACTCAAATACAAAAGTTTTTGCGGCAGCCACTACTCTGAGACAATTACCTCCTTAGAACAAGTTGCTAAAATCCTCGACAAAATTCAAACTAGCTGGATATAGAAAGCGAGATTTTATCATATTCTCCATGTGACACGAAGCAAATTGTCGCTGCGACTTGCTCCCGCTGCCATTGTGAATCTTGGCCTGTATACTTACAACTGCGTTGATTTGCAAAGGCTGTTGTTTTCCTTTCAAATATTGGAAGTAAAACTGTACCATGAACTCAAATCCATGAACAAAAGATGAACTGCTCTTCCAACAGCTGAAATGTTAGGTTACGTGTTTCAAGGTAATTCAAGGCACCTGATTAACGCGTGATTTTCTATTAATCACTCTGTCCCTTGTTTTTTGAATCGTGAGCAAACTTCAACGACACAGCGTCAGAGAGGTAAATCTCCAAGCCTTTTATAAGTCTCGCAGGTCGTGAAGTACACAATTTGATGGATTGCTCGCAATTAATCTTCCCATTTGAACAACGGACATTCTGAAAGCCCTTATTGACAACTTTGTCGTATTATCCGGGAGTACAATGACAACTCTATGTAGTTTCCGAAAAACCTGTCATCATAAATGAAAAGGACACAAAAACAAAGAGATTGATCGCACGCGTAGGCTGCAATAGGTATTTTAGGAAGCCATTGGCACTAATACATAATGTAGTCTGGCGCCAGAAACAGTAAAACTTATTACCTAAATATCGGGTACTGAACATTAATTGGTTACTGTAAGCCAAGATGACCAACATGGGCGATATGCCCTCTCGATAACACAGTAATAGGAGATAAAAATGCACAGACACGTCGAAGAAAGTGTCAAATTTACGTCTCTCGATTTCAAAGAAGCTTCGAGGTCCATTACGAAATATCCGCATTTTTGCCGTTATCTTTCACTGATATTGAGCCAAGTTAGATGCTACTTCGTTTAAACAAAAGGGCAGTTTTTTTTTGTGAAGCAAATGGACCTTTCAATTGAAATCAACCTATGTAATCAATAGATTTTTGAACATAGATTTAAATCGGAAAACGTTGGTGAGTGATTTCACAATGGTTCTACCGGTAAAATGTTTTTAAGGATATTTATGTCAAATTCAGCTAGTCTATGAGTTATTGTTTTGTTGGACATTTTCTAAGCATTAATTTACAAGCAGTGCATACAAATGAAGGTTTTTATTGTGAAAACTCTGTTCACGGCGAGTGCTTGTCGTTTTCATCCTCTTCAAGTTCTCCAAACATTTTTTTAAGTAACTTTGAAGACATTTCGAACACGTCTTGAAAACGTCGATCTTAGCCTACCACACAAAACCGTAAACTTAATAAAAAAAATTTTGCTTTTTGCAAAACACAACTCAGCTGTTTGTGTCGATAAACATTAAACTAAAAACACGAAATGGAGGGTACGTTCCGCAACATTATAAATACAGGGTTAACTTGGGAAAAGCGATGAAACAAATCAAGACCTTCTCGTCAGTTTCATGAATATATTCTCTGGTAAATTTTTTGACCAGCTGATAACGTTTTTCGCATCATTACCTTTTCGTGACCTCTGCAGGGAGATATTATTGATTGGAAGGAAATATCGTCGATAACTTAAGATCCTAATGGAGACAGAGAAATATCAGACAGAATACGTTGAACTTTTTTCCGCTTTTTTTGCGAGCCTGATAATTCTAAAAAGGCATAATTTGCAAGCTAACAGAAATTTAAAAATTCCTGATTTTGATGTAAAATGACTAACCTTGTCTCCAGTTTAAGCAAATGTTGATGTTTGACCATTTTAGATCAAAAGAAACTTGAATCGATATTAAACCTATTCTTTGACCGAAACATAATACAGTCATTGTTATGGCCTATACAAAGTATCGTTCAAGGTGATAACCAGCCTACAAACAATGTTTTTATGCTCCCTGCTTACGTAATGCAGCAATAAAATTTTTGCCGAACAACTTAATTTCATCTTAATTCGGTTTTAGTCCCACTCTGACGATAAATAAGGAATTTTCAGCTTGAACAGCTCTTTTGCATTATTTTCGTGACCGAAAACAGTTTATTGAGGTATTTCTTGGAGATTATAACGATTGTTCATTTTGCTAAAAATAATTTTTAAAAAACCGACTATGAAATCTTTGATCAACAGCTGCCCTGGATATAAATATAAACCCGCTTCGTAAATATTTTGAGATACTTTGTAAATAGGATACGTACGCATGTTAGGAAATTCCCTTGTTTTGTTTGTAGTTTTAGAACCGGTGTACTCAGGATGAATTGGAAGAATCACTTTTTGAAGTCGCCCTAAGTCATACGAGCTTACACGATACGATACGATTACATCTCTGAAATTAACATAGTTAAACCAACTTTGCAGGAATGAATATTAAAAGAAACGTCAAATCTATTGTAAGAGTATGATCTGATTAAAAATGAACCTGAGAATCCGGCAGTACTTAAAATTTCTACAACCTAGAGAAATATCGTGTTAGCAACCATGGTGGCAATGAACTGTCAGTTATAAAAAAAGGGAATTTTTGTACAATCTTGGATGGTTTGTGAGCTTAACATTTTTTCCTCTTCGCGTACTTTACTCTTTACCGAGAATCATTCAGCGAACGGATGGCTGGTATTATAAGTATTTTGGAAAGTAAGCTCACTGAAGCTTAGAATTTCTACTTATAAAATCGATACAATATCAAGCAGAAAAGTGATGAAAATAAAGAATAATATAAACTAATGGATTATCAGTGGATCCAATACCAAATTCTCCAAACTAACATCATAAGAATTGTGAGGCAGACAGTAAGGAGAATTACTGATGAGATCTGGGGAGGGAAAGAGTTAGGCAGATGTTCACCCATAACACCATCGCAAAGTGAATAACATATTTCGCAGTTTGAAGTCCTGTTTTGATCGCTAAGACAAATATTCCATCATGTTTTCATGTAGAGATCCTTCTTTTAAGCCACTTTTATTCCATAATGAAACTGGAGATTTCGTTGTCAGAGTGAATGTCTTATAGTTAAGTTCACCATACATACAGAGCATTATCGATTTGAGGAAGTATTACACTGTTTTGTTGACTAGCTCTTATTTTTCGGCAAAGTTAACTAATATTGTTCCCTCGCCAACGTATTCGATTTTTTTTTCAATATTTCCTTAACAAAATGAAGAAATATTTAAGGTAAGCTATGAGCCTACGTCACTGCTTTTAATGTCCTAAAAAATCATCACTCGTGAAAATTCTCGTTTTTCGTTTGAAAACGATCCGAAACAATGTGTTTCTCGCCTTGGTTTATTGTAACATCTTCATTGTTCTCCTGTTTCGTTGAAATTTAGGCGCTTAACTTAAAGATGCGCTTGATTTCAAACGGTCTTAACATGTTTGTTTGTTTTTTTTTTGCCTTGTGAGTTTTGAGCGTAGTAAAAACCGGCCAACGCAAGCCTCTGACATGACGAACACTGGAAATGAACAATAGCTTTAAGAACCACAAACAACGCAAACACTTAAGTACGAATTGAATCTAAACCTCCCCTCAATTGTACTTGGAACCCTCATGTTTAATATATATATCATCCTTAAATTTTGCTACTTACACTTGAATTAGATTTTGGGTATTAAAAAGATATTGTTTTCGCTATAGGGATGAAATCTTCAGCAAGCCAGCGCAAAGCGTTTGAATTCAATCATAAATTATTAAGATGCAACACCTTACCTAACTCAAGGCGAATTATAACCTGGCATTCACTGAATAACGTATTCCTCAGTATCACGCTAGTGTGGCAGGGCACTGTGGTACCAAAAAAAGCAGGCGGTAACAGAAGAAATTAATTAAGCACTTCCTAAATTGCCATCATTTACTTCTACGGTGTGGAAAAACAAGTTATTCGGGGGTTTCGAACGCACTATTTAACGAATTACAATTAATCATGTTTCCATTTTCTGTCATGTCGGAGGAAACACGCATGATAAATTAGCCGGTTTGTTTTTCAGTGGTGGGTTGAACGGGAAATTTGAACGAGTAGGCTGCAAAAATCATTGCAAGAAATAACAATTGCGCGGTGTTTTTTCATCTGTCATTAGTGGTTCAAGTGCTTATATTTGCTTTGCTGCCGTTATGCGTGGGCATGCATATGTAGTAACTTTTACATAGCGGTTCGCTTAAAGAAAAAAGATCCTTCTTACATAATCGCTGCGAGTGTTATTTTTCCTTATCAGTGCAAATAAGAGAATTTAGGTAGCTGGTTGAAAAAGAAAAGGCTCCCTTGGGAAAACAAGCCTGCAAAATAAGGCGAATAGATAATTGTGTTCCATCGGCTTCAAAATGACTACTCTTTTCTAATCATTGTGGTACCTGCATTATAGTCTTGGTTTTTTTTTTTTCTGCGCTTACGTCAGTTTTCCGTCGTAAGTAGATGTATGAAGATAAATACTGAAGCTTCTCTATATGCAATCTTTCCAGAGTTTTCTCGCCATTTATAATTGTGTAAAGGAAGCCGGCATTATTAAGCAGTTCTCACAGCGTGTATATACGACAGTACACCTCGGTCTTGAAAGAAACTATCTCGCCGTGATTAGCTCTTACAGCTTTTCTCGGATTTAAATCATTGTGATCTAAGCAATCTTCTGCTAGAAATTAATCCCTTTTCAATTCATAGATAAAAGCTTTACTCCGAGAATAGCTCAATCTTTTAATTCTACAAAATATTCCCCTTAAGAGTATTGACAAAAGAATGACAATGTTCGAATAAGTTAACCTTATGCAGCATAAAATTTAGAGACAGTTAACACTTATATCTTATTAAAATGATTTCACGTAGTCATCGACAAAACCACTGAAACCTGCTACCATTCTGCAAATAGATAAAAAAAAACTTTCAAGTGAATAAATATCAAATGGATAAATAAATTGATGAAGAGATTGATGACCTTCTTAGCCTTCGTGAACTACCGGAGCTCGGTTCAACGTCGAAAGGGGTATATTTTTCTCTAGCCAGCATCGAAAAAGAAAAAAATGTGGAATACATCCACAAAAGCATCAGCCACATCTTCTGACAATTCTGTATCAAATAGACCAAAAGCAACGATCACATCTTCTAACAATTCTGCATCAAAGAGGCCGGTAAGGGTTATGAATAATTTCTGTCGGGGGTGATGGTTTTTTTGTGAACAAAAACAATTTAATCAGCATAGCGTGGAGGGAACCTTAACCCTCTACACCCTAACATCAGTATGTATATTCTCCATTCTATTCTCCATAAATTTCCAAAGAGGCTGGCAAGGAGAATTTGTGTAACAATCAAGAGCTGCTTTAGTTGGTGATCATCTCATCTATTCTCATGACTTTCATGTTTGATTCAGGGGTGATATTGTAAGGAGAAATTAGACATTGGTCACTCTTAGGAGCTAAAAGGTTAAGCCTCGAAAAATGCAGTCTACAGGAGGTCAAATGCAAGGAGTGCTAACATTCCTGAAACCAATTAGTTTTTTTTTTAGTGTTGTCCCGGTTTAGTCCCAAAACAACGCAATCAGTGGTTTGCAACGCCAGCGACCTATCACTAAAACTCCTTTGTTAGCCATTGAGACTTAGGCAAGTCACCAAGAAACCAAATAAATTGCTGTATGAGTTAAAATGTATACAATCAAAGCCGGAATTTTTCAAATTCTTGTCACAGAAACAGTTTGTGTGGTTCGAAATTACTCTTCTGCGATAAAAGGCAAGACTGCCCACACCTTGAATTTGGAAACGGAAATTTACGAAGGATGCTCGACAAGTTTGCTTGCAGATTCTTGAATGTTCTATATTGAGATAAATAAGCCAATTACTAGAGCTTCCTTCACAACGCAAAAATTATAAATAAATCAGATTAACAAGAAGGATAAATATGCGTATCCAAAGTGTATTTGACAAATGTAAGGTTTATAAAATTTGACAAAAATTCTCATCAGAACGGGACCAAAAAGTAAAAAAGATCGAGGATTCAAATTGTAACACGATATGATTTATGAAAGGTTTTACTCGCGGGTGGAGGGCTTACCTTTTCCTTTGACTCAATCAGTGTTCTGTATCAGTGTTTTGTAGGCTCTGTTACTTTTTTTTCCCTCTGAATATCAGAGATCACTATACCAGGCGACTCGGAGAGGTGCAAAGTCAACTGAAGCTTGTTTAGTTATGATACCACCCTAGCTCACTAATACTTCAAGGAGGTTTTGTTTCAGCCCTTTTGAATAATCCTGAATGATGAAAAATTGGCTATGAATGAGGGAATACCAAGGACAAGAGCACTCAACATTTCCGGTTGCCAACTGAAGTTTCTTTTTTTGATGGATTAGCTTAAAAACTGTTATTTTTACCTAGCAAAGAATCAGCAGGAAAAAAAAAAACAAAAGTTAGATGTCAATGGCGCTTGACTTATGCTAAGTTTATCTGTAATTTGATTTTGTTTGAGCTGAAAATTAAGTTGTTGCATCACGCGAGGCCGACTAGGTTATCGGCAACAAATAATCATTGTGAGGAATTTTTGCTTTACTTTTAGATTAAAACATTTGGAAAAACTTTCGAGAGCAAGTGAAGGGCTTACATGACAGAAAACTTGAAAATTCAAGGCCCTGATTTGGTAGAGATCATTTACTGAAACATCGGAAACCATTATAATTCCATCAATATTTTTTTTGACGTTTATCTTTCCCTATCTTAATTTCACCAAAATAGCGTAAAATATTGGGATAAACAATGTCTACTATTTGCTTCAGGAATTTAAGTATTGAAAGATAGCTTTAAAGAAGGTTCTCGAAAAAGAAGAAAAGTTCACAAAATATTCTTAGTCCACAGAAGGACAATTGACTTAATACAGTTAGAGACTAGAAATGTTAAAGTTATTAACTTATTCTTCGCGAAAAGGCGGAGATTTGACCTTCTGTTGAGCAAATCGTGATCAATATTTAAGAACAGTTTCAGACGAAAATGGGTCCTTATTCCTAAAGCACGCCAACACATGAGAAAAATGTCAAAAGCGGATGACAATAAACTGAAATTTATAAGCTGAACACTTGGTCGTTGTTTGGAAGAAATTAGACGCACTAACGTTTTAGAATAGCAAAACACTGCACTTTCTGGGGCGCCGGAGGAATTTCGAGATCAAAACACGGTCTTATTTTGCAAAGTGCTTTGTCACTTTCATAAAATATCATGATAAATGACAGGAAAGAAGAAAGGAAAAAAAACGACTTCTAGCAGAAATTTAGCGAGGCTACGAAGAAATCAAATCCTGAAGAAAACGGACAATTGTATGTAACAGTCTAGACCCAGGGCAGAGTATCAGACATATCGTTTTGTTACTACAGAAGTTCGATAAAGCTCGGGGAGTGTTCTCTTAATCCGATTTCTTTTTTTGATTTTGGAAAATACGCCATCTGTTACTCGACTGGAGAAACTTCTGGTTAAGCAATATCGAAGCATTAATCATGAAAGTTTAAAACCAGTTATTTCCACGCCTTCAGATCAGAGCTTATGAAAATGAACGCTTTTTGGGTTTCTTCCGAAGCCGTCGTGTAATCTTGCTATGCAATACTTTGTGTACGTGACAACCATGGCTGCCAAGGAGACTATAATGTAGTTAAAGCAAGTTTTTATTTTGTATTATGTAAGACCATTTGACGGTTACATAATACCATCAAAGCCGTTGACCCTGAATTCTATCCACTGAAAGATTGGGCTGAACACGCTAGTATCATTTTTCTGGTGCAAGCAAGATGCCAAAAACTGGAATAATGTACCGTAAAATTGATTACCATTTTTCCTTCAGAGTTGCATGTTGACGAACAGTTTTCCCGAAAAATTTTGTTCCGTGAAATTATCATGTGTGTGACAAAGCACAAGTTCCACCTTCCCTGGATCCTGATGAATAAAATTTCTCCCAGTGCTATCTCAGTGTTTTATCGTGATCTGCTTAATCTTCACAATGTAGCCACATAATTTGTGTGGTGCTAAAAGCGTAGCACAGGTACTCCCAGGATAAAGTGAATTAGTTTACGTGTGACCTCCTCAACATGTGTAGCGTAACTGCGGTATGAACGAATGAGGATGAACTACGCAGACGCGCAGGGGGATTTTAGTTAAATGATCGATCTTGCGATTAATTAAACAAAGGAAATGAAAGGAAGAAAGCAGCTTTAGTGCCAGACTGAGAAGAAAATCCGGCGGCTGAGATGGAATCAGAGCACTAGCCTGCTGATTTAAATACAAAAAGACGAGAAAAAGCAGGGTCTTTGATATATGTGTTGTTCAACATCATGACGAAAAAGTGCCGGGTACTAAGGATACATCGCAAAAAACACAAAAGAAAAAATTTTGTGCCTTAACGCGAGCCTCTCCATAAAATTTGCTTACCAAGTTTAAATAATCATTCCTTAGTAGTGAAAACACAGCTATAAGCTTGATCTTGAATTTGCTTCTTTGCGAATAAAGTTGGAAATAGGTCTAGATGTGAATGCGCAATATGTACGCAAATTATCTTTGACGTTTTTTTTTTTTTTTTTTAAGGCATGTGGTTAGATTCTCCTCCAAATGTTGTCTAAGTCTGTCAATAGAGCGTAACAAAACAACTCACCAATGGTTCAACCACATTTTCGGGCGCAAAATTCCGAGCAATTTATCTTTCAAAAAGCGTGCATCTCACCGTTGAACATTTTGACCTGAATAAATGTGCCGCCTTTCAGCCAATCAGATTCTAGTATTTTACGGTGGCAATTTTATTAATACTTTCAAGGCCAAAAGATTCTAAAAGAAGATGATTACGAAGTCTTATTTTTATATTTTGAAGGCAAATATTTGTCTTTTCACGATCGAGTTTGCAATTTAAAGATTTTATTAAATCATGATTGCGGTAAGACAATGACAACCCGTTTCTGTTTAGTCACTTTCCACCTCATTAAGGAAATTGATAGCATCCATGAAGAAAAAGATAATCAATCAGATTGTACAGGAGATGAAAATTTGCCAGCGATTCAATGAAGAAATATAAGCCTTTGACTGTGTGACGCAGTCACTCGTATATCTAATCTTTGGCAGTTTTAAAACATGCCGATTACTTACGTATAAAAAAAGTAAATTTATACCACAGATTTAAGAAACTATACAAAAGCCGGCGTTTTCCGTGCATCAACGCTAACTCAAGATTTCTTGTGCACGATATTATCGAGCAGTTGATTTCACCCTGCGCTCTATGAATCGGAAAATGGTCATGAAGAAAAAACTGGTGCGATTCTAGATCGTGAATCGTCCTTAATTCTATCGATCGCATGAACAGCTACAGAAATTCCTGAAAGGATGTTTAGGACTCAGAGATCTGCTGGCTGAGTAGTTTGCATTTATCGTACTTTCTTTTACCAAGAGTAGCAGTTTTGACTTTTCCGCAACCTTCTCTGCATCGCTTCGATACCTTACCACAAAGTTAAAGCTTATCGAGTCAGCATAAAATTATAAACCATCTTTAAAAAATTGTAAAAACAAACAATCATAAAGGCAGTTGTTTTCATAATAAATGGTCTTACCTATTTTGGGTTGCAATACATCTCCCCGCGAAAGTTTGAGAAAATACTCGCCTCTTTTTTGTTACACAGCAGAATTCACGTGTTTCCCTTATCTTTAAGCCATCACGTTTTCGTTGAGCTGTGCCACGCTGTGGCTCAGTAATATAACTTGACCGCAAACACAATGACAAGCAGACCGATAACTCCACTAGTTATCAATTATTAATTCACATTATCACTAACTTTCGCTTTTACTTCGTAGCAGGAACTGCGACAAAGTCCTCATTCTTCATCGCACGTTATAATCAAAACTGACCTTTTCTCTAGAAACCGATTGCCATCACGAATCGCTGGAAGAAAACAGATTCAGAGATTTTTCTCAAATAATTTACGAGATGGATAAAAATTTCCGTAACTAATAGGCTAACCAACGATTATCTAAATGAATAACATTAAAAAATTTTGAAAGATTCATAAGACCAAATAATATTCTGGTTTATAAAAAAAGCTTTGTAGCGTGGTTTTTTTTACACTACCTGGTGGCTTTCATCAATCTTATTATTGTGGTCTTAAATTTTAGGAACGATACCAATTTTGTAAAATTTTGAAACTAATTTTCATGCAAGATTCAATGTATCAAACAAAATCAAAGTAATCTTCCCAAAGAATTTCTGATATTTAAACTCTATTATTCTGTATTAGTCAAGGTTCATATCATACAGACAAAAATTAAAATTTAAAAAAAAACATCTATCAAGACAGGGTAATGTCCGATATCAGAGCTAAGGGTTCACATCGGCTATGAATTCAAAACTGTCACTTATTTCTACTGTAACAAATCGTTTAGATTACCCATAATCAGAGGTCGTTTATTCAACAAAACCTTTTCATCATGAAATATTTACTGTATGCCAGAAAGTGCTTTAATATTTCATGGTAGTAAAATGGTTCAAAGCACGAAAGCGCAACACTGATTTAAAGTGTGCGTAGAGATTAGAAAAAAAATTCAAACGAGTTTTCTCGACTAAGTTTAGGACTACTTTTCGAGCTAAGCAGTGTCAAACGAGACAATATCGGCATCATTTGTATTAAGTATGTAAGAATCAGCAGATAGATCTGAATTACTTCCAATTTCCATGTTTTGTTTTTCGTTTATTCCATGCAGTTAACTGTGGTTGAATGTCACTGCGCTTTTGAGAGACAATAAAGCCACAGCATCAAGGGAGAGACGCAGATTGAACAAATAATTTCATAGAAGGATCTAACACCAGATGAATCGAAGATGAAGTTGGAATGAGTTTTTTTGAGAGCAACAGCAATAACAGCTCCAACAGCATCAAAAGAACGTATGCCTTTTTCCTGATCCTAAAATTTATCCTGTCCCTGCCATTCCTTTAAGCATTTTCACCAAATTTACACTGCTATTTTATCGTTTCAAATGTAAACATTTGAGAATAAAACCTTCTCTTGAAAATACAAGTTTGAAACAGGCACAGTAGTTTCAGTCCTTTTATTTGCGTATTAACGGAAACTATTTCAGTTTGTTTCTCATAATGAAAATTAATAGTACATGCTGAAAATAACAAAAGTATTCATGGTTTCTTGCTGTTTCGAGGCGAAATTAAGGAAGGCTGAGTAACCAGGCTTATATATGAGGTTTGTCTCACGGTGAGGTTTCTCTCATGGTGCCGGTGCATGATGGGTAATAATTACCACGAAATTTTAAAACTGAACAACCTTGTTTAGTTGGAAGTTTCCCTCTGAAAAACCTGACGTTTGTCTTAAAAGATTTTTCCTTTTTCTTCGTGCCGACGGCGCAAAAACGACAAAAATAGATTTAATCACAAGTGAAATTCTAGAAATAAGTTTTTTATAACCAGCTGGCTTTTAGCAAGAGCCAGTAGATTCAATTCACCAAAACTTATTCGCAGGATAATTGGCCATGAATTCTTTTACAAATCATATTTTAATGTCTGGAATCCATTAAAATTTGTGTTAAATTGCCTTAAGTATTCAACTCTGTATGTGCAGTGGTTTTCATGCTCATTAACTGAGAGTAGTTAAGTGAAGTACTTTCGGTACATGACGAGTATTTCTCCGGACATAAATATGTATTTGAAGATATATCTATTTTTGTTTCAGTGATTTCCGATGCCTTTGTCTCCTTTCATGGGATCTACCCACAACCAAAAGTTTATCTTTGTTTTCGTGGAAAAGACAATAACCCCTCCAGCAAAATATGACCTATTTATAAAAGCTTCCAGCTGTCTAGGAGCAAATTTATGTCAGTTTGATAATCTTCATTACGATTTATGGTCAAAAGAGCATCTAGATGGTGTTCTCTTCTTTCGCTTTTGCTTCGGTACGAGAGTTAGCGAATCCAGTCATGAGTGGAAATACATGACGGGTAATTGTAACGCCCCGGCTGGCAGCCTCTTTGTCTGGAAATTATATTCTGAATAACCTTCCTGAATAGCAAATTTTACAGGATTTCTATCTGGAAAAGCTGACTTGTAAATTTAAAAAATTTTTCATAATAAGCAAACCCTTCAATTGTGTCTCACCTTGGGTTATTTAACCCTCAGGCAACAACATCTACAACGAAATCAGGGTTTTGAAGTCGACAACAGAACTACAATATTTTTTCTTCTAGATAATAAAGCTGGGTTCAATTTTCACTCAAAACCAAACAACAGGTGCTAAATGTGGCAGACATTCAACAAAATATTTAAAATTCAAATGGGGAAGATTACGAAGAAATTTTAAAAAGATCAGTTCGTGAAGGTCTGTAATGACAGGGGCGTGCTGGAAAGATTGCTCAGTGCACGGAAGGAACTGCTGACGGGACGTGCTTCGAAAAGCTCTCTGTTTCATCAGTTACTCAATCATGAAGAGGTCGTTTCAGAGTTAACTTCGTCTCATTTAGATCGACTCACGGTCGACTTCGTGTGCCGATGAAAATTCTTCGTAATTTATGTTTAATTTTCCGCAGATTTACGTCGTGTTCTGCACCGTCTGGACTAAATGTTAAGACCAGCTTGTGTTTAGACCATGATGGTAACGAATTTTATAATCCCAGCTGGTATCGAAAAGATATTTTTTCAGAAAGATTTTAACCGGAGACTATTTCTAGCTAATGGCAGAAATTACAGAAGGAAATCGAAGGCTTACCTCGTTGTCGTCCGTGTTACTCGCGTTATGTAACTGGTATATGATCTGAGGCACCAAACGAAAACGAAGTCCTAGCGCTTGTCAATGTCTCTAGTTGTGTCCGATCTTAATCACTGACAGCCGCGCGAAGCGGTGCATGATGTAAGCTTCCCCAATGCAAATACGACGCATTTCAGTGATATTTCCATGAAAAAGGCTGATAACAATCGGAAAAATTAGAGAGGAAGTTGAAAGGAAATTCGGTAGAAAAATAAACGAGTTTGATTAAAGAACGCCTTTACTTTGGCCTTGGAAAAAATGACTCAAATTGAATTTCTCACGACCTTATCTGTATTTGTAGACCGCCTACAGGTGTGAATGATCGATTTCCAATAAAAGATGATGAGACAATAAATTCTTAAAACAAGATTGAAAGGAAATGTCATATTTTCAGTCAAGAGAATTTAATCGTAGATCATCTCTATTGCATTCACCGGTTGTCTGAAGGTGAGTGAAGATCTGACAAATGATGGCAGGTTTATTTTGAAATCAATTAAGGTCAGCCACTTGAGTACTTTCGTGGTAAACATTCAGTTCCTCGCTGGACATACTTTGCATAAAATTTAGATCCAATGCTCTCTTTGTAGGAGGCACCATCTTGAGTTAAAAAAATCAAACAATAAAAAAGCTACTCCCTTCGTTATCGCAGTAAAGGTTAATCTGAGAAAGATGATCAAAAAAGTTTTTTTTTGTTGGGCTGCGTTGATTTTAAAAACATAACATGCATATTTAGACGTCTCGGTAAACCCTTTATGAGTTAGAACGTGCACGCAACAAACATGAAAATTAAAAAATAAAAAAAAAATACGAATGTGTTAATCCAGTGTCTATACTGTTTGGGCAGTTTGATAACGATTGAACAGATTTATAAGTTAGAAAGAAGTTCCTGGTTTATTATTAAATTTAGGTTTTTCCTAAATCAAGGAAATAGCAGTAAATGAAACGTATCAATGCAGTTAATTTTTCCCTAATTGATATGATTAAGGTATATTTGAGCGGAACCGGCTCGGTGTTTGCAACACCGTTAAGAAAGAAAATCACCAAAACTGTATTTACGGTTTTGAAAACCATTATTTAATGGAATATGAAAGGAATTAGGAAAAGAAAGAAAACAACTAAAGAAAGAAAGTTTTCGTGTCGATTTGCCGGCCCAGCTCGAGCTTTCCATTAATTGCTTTTCCGCAATCAAACGACCCAACAAATCAGAATGCCGCTACGCTATCATTTTTGCTTAACACGATTAACGCGACTTGCAGATGAAAAATAAGGTTTCTGTTAAACATAAAATCAAAGTAAATTAAAATAGTGACTCACTATTTGGCCAGATATTTCTCATGTCTCAATACTTGATAGGTTGAGCTTTATCAAATTAAGGAAAATGAGAATTTTATTTAAGTGCTAAGAGGAAGACGAGTACTAAAGCCGGTCATGCACAACCATCTTGAATGTAAAGCCACTTGCCTGAAAAAAATTATTTTTTACAAAAGCAAACAGTTTTAGGTTTGGCGGTTGATCGGTGGAGTCTAAGGTTTTTTATCACTTGCAGGCCGATTCTTGGTTATCAAGTTCATCAAAATTGTCCAACTCACAGAGTTTATTTTGCTCGAATTTGCGCTGGACATTGCATCCAGTATTTCTAACAAACGCCGAAATCAATGCAACGTTAAGTAAATAAGTTTCTTTTCGTTTTTCATGTTGAGCTTTGCGCGATCTGCAATGCAAGATATTTGATCAGAAAGGTGTCCTTGGTTGAAAATACATGGCAAATTCGGCTTGCAATTTGCTTCACGTCAATCAGTCAATTGATCAAACAATCGATCTATCTATGAATCAATCTACCTTCCATTCACACTGACTTAAGCCGATTCAATTTTTAACCGCCTCACAAAGTCAGCTAACAAGTCGCTGTTAGTCTACAGTTCTTTAAGCTATCATATTTATTATTAGCATTTTGCCTCAGTGTTATGAACTGACTATGTTTTGCTTCTGCCTCTGGGTCAACTGTGAGTGACGTTCTCTCGTACAGGTGCAGTCAGTGATATTCACACTGTCGAAATCATCACAAAGCTTTGTTCTTTGTGTTTCTTTTCTGGAAGTTTTCCATTCCTGGATGATCCCTGATGCCACGTACTTCTGTTGTAAGATCGAACAAACGACGTTCCTGTGGCCAGAAAAGGCATATCGAAGCTGCGCTCCTTGCAGAGCAGCTTGTAACCAAGGTAACGAAATGTGTTTATCATCTCACGATTCCTATAGGCGTACACGAAAGGGTTAATGGCACTATTGCTGTAGTGACAGAACTTAACAAACTTTAAGAGTCGATCCGTCCCCAGTTGGGAGGGTAGTTTTTGTGGATGGTAGGTTGCTAAGACACTGACAACGAACAGTGGCATCCACGCTATGATGAACAGCAGGGTTATCATGGCAACCGTGACAGATAACCTTATCTCGTTGTTGTAGGCTTTCTTGGGTACGCGGTGACGTGATAGCGTACTTATGGGCCTTGATCGCGCATACACGTAGATGGTGATGTACGCGACGAGAATGATTACAAATGGGACGAAAAAGCACGTGGTTGTCATGAGAAGTGTGTACACTTCTGTCCAGCGCTTGAATTGCACCGGTTGCAAGCTCGCCATTATGGCGGCGTACAACCACGGAATTGCTATCATGGCGTAGAACACTTTCATGGGAAGAGTTCTGTGACGTAACGGCCTGACGATTGCGTGACAGCGTTCGATACTGATGGACGTTAGTTGCAAAATGGAAGCGCTCCCGATAAAAATGTCAGACGTGATGTAGAATTGGTATCCTACGTTGGTGTAAGGGCGCTCGGTGTACTGACTCAGAAAGATGTATATCCAGCAGGGGATAGACACGAGACCCACAAGGATATCACTCAACGACAAACTGACGATAAACGTATTTGTCACGGTTCTTAACTTCCGGTTAATTGCAAAAGAAGTCAGGATGAGTCCATTTCCGGTAATGATTGTCACGACGAGTAAGCAGTACAACACAGTTATGAAGGCGAGCTCAGTCAGGTTCATTTTTTCTATCACCGCTGGAGTTGTGTTTGTATTTCCAGTGCCATTGCCGTGATTCTCCATTCTGAAATTTCTCCTGTAGCCGAAAAGCCTTTCTTTTGCTGTTTAAAATAAAAAAGAAGGAAACTAGGCGCGTTATATGAGAGTGTCCAAAGTAAAAACATTGAAAAATTACCGTGGTTTTCTTCTACGCATGCACAAGAGCAATTCACAGACAAATTCACGATTATTTGCCGTATAAAAATGTTTACAATTTATGGTAAGTTAGTTACACTATTTCACAGTTTTATATTAGTTCTTAACAGTTACCATTTCGGGTTGAATTCGAATAAATTAATAAGATTAGGGCAAAAGCGTGAAAAATAAGCTGTTTAGAATTCTTTCATAATTTCACGTGGTGTTGTTTGTTCTCTCGATCATTCTGTGACAGATGCAAATTGTTGAATCGAATTAAACCATCTCGAAATTTAAGCACCGTTTGCAATCTGTCGATATTTTGGGAGAGAATGGTCAAAGAACACCACTTCAGTTGTCGACGTTGTCTACCAATTAGGAAAACTTAAAGTGTTAGTAACGGTACTAAAATAAACGTCGTGGAAGAATCGGTGCCTCACGTGATGTTTACCACTTTGGTCGTTCTGCGCGCGTTCGTCGCAGTAACTTCAAAAATGCGCCGATCGCTTTGACTCAACTCATTTTGACAGAAGTCTTATGAAAACCGGTTTCTTACTCCTATGCTAAGTCTCTAGAGAACCGTGCAGAAGTTGCTGGATAAAAGAAGAGGCTACACAAAGACCGCCTAACGGAAAACTATTAACACAAACAACCTCCTACCATAAAAACACACAATGCCTTGAGCGCAGACTTTCACGAACGACTTCGTCGGTTCGAGAAGATCAAGAGTTCAATTTTAATAACCGCATCTTGCCACCTTAAAATATTGAACTATGACGAAATTCGCCGGCAAATAGCATGCCTCAAGCTGTGTTCTCGTTATTTCTATGTTCGAGGCGTCAAATCTACGAGATAGTCTTGTCTCTAAATCGAACAAATAATGACGTCAAGGAAAGATTTGGAGATAGGGATCAGATTAAACCGCTAACTGGCCAAAATTAAAGACGATTATCGAATTAAAATTAAAACGGCGTAAATTAAGGCCACGACTTACATCTTGATACTGCAGGATTCCAAACAAGCTCGAATCCCGTCCTAAAATGTCGGGTGAGGTCTTTCGCCAAAAACTGTTACCCAAGATTTTTTTATAACTAAGTTACTCTTTGGGAATTACGAAGAACCACAGTATAAAGACACACAATCTTTGTATCATCTGCACTGTCCGCACTAATTGTTTCTTTGTCACTAAAATCTGCCTTTTTGGCCGGCTTTCAAATTTTATGCTAATGTAATGTTCTTTTCCATCCTTGGCTGGCTTTTCTTTTGGCATTTGCCATTCTCTGACGCGCGTAACCCATCGCGTTTTATTATTGATCCGAAATAAAGACATTTGCATCTAAACAATCGGTTCCCTTGATCAACAAAAGTTTTGAAAGCCATAACTTGTTAAAACAATTATCAAAGACAGCCGTTGGATCTGATCATTATTTTAGGCAAAGAAACCACAAAAGAGTCGTTTTCGATGCATTTAATTCACTGTTTGAGGTTAGAACCGAAACAAAAGCGGAGTGGCTAGCACAACTAATGGTAATCTGTTACTGTCATGTTTCTTATAAAAAAAAAAACGAAACGAATCAAAACAGGCAACCTGTCAGATGTTCGTTAAAAAGAAAAACCAAAATTTTCAAATTTCTTTTTCAGTATGAGTGTTTTTCTTTATGTCATCAGCTACTGTTTATTCGGCTGAGATTCCAGTCGAGCAGAAAAATTTCCCGTTTGAATCGAGGCGGCCCCACAGTCGAAATTTTCAAGTCGACCACTCGAATGCAATCTTTTCGTCGACCCAGTTCTGACTAATTCGAATGAACTTTGATCTCATCACGAACTGAACTGAAGGAATTAGATTCGGCGAATTTGAATGCACGAAAAGTTCTTCGTTTAAACTTGGTCTTAGCCATTTCACTCCCGAGATCTAATTGGTAATTCTCCGGACTGTCTGTCATACAGTTCTAAGAGAGTTTGGAGAACTTGGTATTGGATCAACTGACAATCGCCTAATATATATATTTTTCTTTATTCTCATCACTTGTCTGTTTGTTATGCATTGTTATATTGTAAGAAGAAATTCTGGCTTGGCCACTCATTGGAGTTATTTAAAGCCTTATGTATTTCCAGTTCTCACCCTTTTCACTGAACAGCAGAAGGAGGAGTGCTCCTCCTTAGGTGAAAATTTATCCGTTCTTCAATATGACCGCTGAAAACACCAAATATACTTCTCGGGCAAGAAACAACTACTAATATCGACTAAAAATTCTTATTTTGTAATCGTACAAAGCTACTTTCAGCTTGGTGTTAGATCAGACGAGAAAATCTGATTTTAAAGTTTATTTCGATAAGCACAGGAATTTGTTTGACTCGATATACATTCTATACAATAAGCCTATATTAAATGAAGATCGTCTTTGAAGATGGATAAATTCAGACCGATTTTTTTAAAGATAATACGAGTTCCATCACTTAAAAATTTCATCGTTCAGTATTTGAATCACAAGTTTTCTTACTCTGATGAGTATTTTTCCTTATGATAAATGAGTTTTATTTCTAATCACATTTTTTAAATTGATTTCAGTCATTTTGGAGAAATGTGCTTTCTTTTATTTGCGTTTAAAGACACGATTCATCCCTTATTTCTTGCAGTGTTTGGTCTATAGCCTGTATTTTCGTGATTTCACCAAAGATTGATTGAAAATAGCAGTTTTTTTTATCATTGCTTGCGTCAAATCTCAAAATTGAGTAATATAATAATAATGTTCATTTATCTTATAGTCGCCATTTGACAATGAAAAAAATCTGCGAGGTTTTAGATTCGTGAATGAAGTTAAGGTTGTGCTTTTGCACAGTTACCTCCGACGATTGAGAATAACACCAGAACTTTCGGAAAGGCCATCTACCTTGCAAAAATTAAGTTTGGGCGAGGAAAATCGAGTAATTCACCTGCTCTAGGAGACAATCCATCTGCTAGATATTAACTTAATGCCAGATCATTACCGAGTGCATATGAATCTGCTGGATGAAATATTGGCAAAAGTAAGTCTGATTGAGCCTTTTTCTCCATTTTTCGAACTCGAAATCAATGATCAAGAAATGTATCAAAATTGCAAAGTTGTTCACAGTAAGACTGTAATAGCGACACTGTCTGAAGAGGCGCTTTTCCGCGCATTTACAGATATCTCTTATTTTGAGGGTTGCAGTATCATGCATAAAGTGCTTCCCCGTGGCAATCAAACTGATCCATTAGGCCTTGGTATTGATAATTCCTAATTATTTTCAGAGAATGTAACTTAGATTTCATGAATGAGCTCTGTTAGTCTGAGTTACGCTTGCTTCTCAAAGGCACTCCAATCCAGTTGTGTATTCATCAGAGGCGCTTATTTCTTGAATGACAGGCCGGACGAACGCACCGGGGTAGCCGTTGATTCTTTCGCAAATAATCGATGAGTATGAAAGAGATTCGGTAGATTTTTCATTGCAGAATGTTGCTCCTAACAAAATCTTAACAGAGAACATACAGCATGTCTATTATTAGACTGTCAGCAATGATTTCTCGTGTGAACAATCGGACCTCTTTGATAGCCATATTAACTGTTTTGTTAGCCTGTTCACAGGAAATCAAGAAATAATATTATAGGAGGATTATCTGGCAAGATTAAAATCCTAAATTTTGCTGGTGAGCAAAGTAACACAGATTCTAGTACCTCATATATTACAACCAGTGAGGAATATTGAAAGACAGTGTATACCTAGGAAAAATTCAATCAATTTGCAATTTAAAACAAGAGTACTTTTCGTCGGAGGAAATTTAGCTGCCTCACCTGGTTGGATCTCTAATGCAGCGCCCTTTTCCTTTTCGCCGTTTAATCAAGGACGAAAAGTCTTACTCGTTTTCTCTTCGTTAATAAGTGACTTACCGAGCAGCCCCTCGAAATCTTTCGCTTGATCCAAGTAATTGACTTCCGCAGTTTGGTAAAGACACCGAGAGTAGCACAGGTCAACAACTGATTGAAATGTTCTTGTATCACCAATTTTGTTGACATCAGTAATTCAAAAGAAACTGGTTTCCTAAGTGCCGCAGCTCATTGTGTGCTTGGCTGTTCAACCGCACTGAATAAACAAGTTGGCACAACGCAATATACGAGGGAAACTTTGTTTAAACAAGATTTAGGCGTTAAATTAGTCTTTTGACTGTATAAAAGAAAATAAGCTAAATCTGCTCTTTTGTTCGCATTCTGATCGGCGTCTCTCGAATAGTTTGTCTCTCAGGTTTTATTTACATCTCAATTCAGAACATAAAATTTAGCAATCTCTTCGTCATAACGTTCGAAAGATGTTCTCCCCAATGACGTAAAAGAAATTTACGAAAGTGATATCTAAAGCGAGTTATAAAAGCGAATTAAAACCAGCAGCTGACTAAATAAACTTCAGTTGTTTTTTATAAAAATTTCTGCCCCAGTGTGTTTGAATTTCACGTCAAAATATGCCAAGACACGAAATCGTAAACAAAAATTAGTAGAAAAAAGGTTTATATGTTGTAGTTTCCGGCGCCCATTAGTTCGAATTTTTACCATTCTTTGAACACTTTTTGCTCTTTTTTTTTTGATAATAAAACAAACACCCGCGGCATATTATTTTGTCTACCGATGTTATGTCGCGGCTGAGGCATGTTTTATTAATTTCTACAAATGTGCGAGTGAGTAACTATGGAACTTTCTGAGGAAAAGCAACCCATTGGATAATAAAGAAAATTAATTATAGACTTATCAGAATTCTACAGACAGTGTTCCCCGTCACGAAGGCACCTGCGAGAAATATCCTGTTGGACTCAGGAATAATAACACCATCCGCGAGAGAAATCGGTTTTCCAAGCGCGAATGTTTAGGTCAAGATCTCTC